TTTATATTTAGCTCTTCAGCTCCTCTTTTCTTCCTGTTCCTGAGAGTGGCACTCTTCCCTTGCTTTGCATGGCTTACATTGCACTGCACAGTTAAGATTGAGCGAGATACCTGACTGCAGATATTTGGCGGGGGGGAGAAAATCTAGGATTTGCTACTGACTAAAAGATTATTTTAACAATTTTCTAGCCATGGTAAGAGAATTCTTTAGCTAGCACTGCCCAAAGCTCAACAGCCTTTGTTGTAGATACGTGTAAAAAAAAAAAAAAAATATATATATATATATATATATATATATAAAAATAAAACTGCACAATCACATAACCAAACTTGAATAGACTGCACAAAAACACTCTTATACTCTTGTAGACAAACAGCAGACATAAACACATCAGACTCACAAAGGCCTTTTAGTCTAATATGTTCCTAGTTTTTTCTCGCATTGATGAAGAGTGTAATTTGCTTTTGTTTCCCTTTAGCAAGTAGACGAATCACTCCAGTCAATGATTAAACTCTCAGGAAATTGCAGGGATATTCAGCTTTGGTGATTTCTAAGTTCTCCGCTGTTGCACGCAACGCTGTGACAGACCTGTGTCTGTGCTCACCTCACTCACAGATCGACACCCACAGCATGTCTCTGCATGTCTGCACTGCTTTCATGAAGCGCTTCTACAAGGGGTAGATTTATACAAAGTACAGTTTTCTATGTACGTTGGTGGCTTCACCTATGCTTTTAAGGATTTTGTTTCCTTTTGAGGAATTTTAAGGTTTATTTTCCTACATTCAGAATGATGTATGTGGAATGGATACATACAGAATCATTATCAGCTTGAACACAGTCGTGGGCTTTCTGTCTTGCTTGATATTCTGACTTCTCTCGCCCTTACCAAGTATGAGTTTTTTTGTACTCCTTTTGTAAAAGAAATTTGTCACACAGCAATAATTAACAAGCAGGAATTGTGTACTTTAAAAGCCATTCTTTATTATCGTTAAAATTGTTGTCCTTGATTCATGTTATTTCACAAATGGAGAGATGTGGTAGTCATGTTTAATTTAATTCAATGTTTGCCAGTATTTAATTTTGTTTGAAACTTCTGATGACCTCTCCATTCCCCTTTGTGATTATTATTCTATGAACAATTTGATCAGGGTGTTGAGGATCAAATGGAATAGAAAAAAACAATAAGATCTCCAAGTGAAAGTGGACTGAATCTCCTGTGTTCTACAATCATATAAGATCTATCATAGAAGAATGTTTCAGGAGAATACTAAATGATTTTATTAAAATAAGTGAATTAGTTAAATTGGACCCTTTTTAGTTGCAGTTTAATACCTGCACACTCATGGTGACTAATTATGTAATTGTGTGTAAACCCATGCTGGTAATTGTCCACTCGCCATCTGTAAGGTTCTTGTATGTCGGTGACTGTTTTGTCTTTGTTATTCTTTAAAAGAAAATCTTTATGGTTTCTCTATCCAGGTTTTTTTTTTTCAATGATGTGAACTTCTATCAATTATAAACACAAAAATATAAATATACTGTACATGTCTATGAAATGTTAACCAGAAAAAGAAATGTTTGTTTTTTGTATTAAATTGTTATATTGTTGAAAATGAAGGTGGACTGTGTTTTGAATGACACATTTTGATTTCACTCGCAGTATCATTTATTACAAATTAGAACTAACCTATACTTCCATTATCTGTCAATAGTTAACTGCTCTGTCGTAGTGAGCACTCTTCTGATGACGCTCATGCAAGAGTCATGGTTGTCTTTAATTACAGCGCTGCGTGTTTCACTGCCCTGAAACAGTTTGTTCTTAACTGGTGTAGTAACAAAAACCAGCTCTGCTTTGGTTGGCCTGTATCCGTTTTCCTTCCCCGCTCTGTGTTTCTGTGAAGTAGTAGATCTGTGGGTTTGTCCTGGGATCAGTTTCTGTCATCTCTGTTCCTAGCCTGTGGGTGAAAACAGTATTTATACTATAACTGGTCTAAGAGAGCTCTATTGTGTCAGCTGCAACCCATTTGGTTTGCACTTCAGTGTCCTCATGCACTTCTTAATGGACTTGTTTAATTTCCCCCCTGCTTCATTGTTGCCGATGTTTTAGTCAGACCCACTGTTATTTGCATGGAGTCACTTTACTCTTAACTCGTGGGTATCTCTGTAGTGGCATCAGAGTACACACAATCTGCATTTTTTTGGTCAGGATCAGTTTCCGAACCCTCTCAAGTGGATTGCCACTTAGGCGTCATATCCTCTTTCTCTCCCTAACCTTTTCTTTCTTCATTCTCAACATTCTTTCAACTTTAAATATTTTTTTCACCACTTTTACACGATAAAATATCTTCCACCCTTAGTATGTATGCAGTAATGTGTTTAAAGTGAAAAGATTGCTTCACTATAGACAGAGCATCTTACTCTGCATACTAAATTAGCTTTAAAAAGCTTTAGAAACTTGTGTTCTGGTTCTTGTCCCGTGTCCGTATAATTATGCTGACCAGGGATCCTCTGACCCGTATTTTGGTGTCATCTCATGTAAAGGTCTCTTCGGGAGAGGTGACCAGAGAGATTCCTGGGTGTCCTAATCTCAGAAACAGCCTGATCGTCACCAAACTCCTTCTTAAGTATTCATGAACCACACAGGTGCCAAATGTGGCTCTGTTTGTCCACCAAACCAACTTCTGTTGAGGAGGAGGGCAGAAGGTGTCAATATTGGGAGAAGAAGAGACGAGGACAAGGAAGAAAATATTGCTCATCATTCATTGAGTCCTAACCCTGCGGGAAACATTTATTTGATCTTGGAATAATTAAAGCACTTGTGGAACTTCATCGATTTTGTAGAGAAGTTTATGGAATAGAAAGCAACTCAGTAAGAGATTTTAACATGGACCGTACAACCGCCCCCACTGCCAGGTTTGAGGTGGATGTGGATCTTGGTTTTGCCCTCTTCTTCTTCTTCATGCTCTGCTTCTTCTTGTTGGTGACTATAGTCCGCTGTGCCCAGATGGTGCTGGACCCTTACAGTTCTATCTCCGTTACTACATACCAAGAGGAGCAATCAGAGGACCCATAAACCTGCATATCAAATCATAAATGCGTCTCAACCTCCTGAAGGAGCGATGGTAACACCTCTAATGGGACAAAAGTTAGCTGCCACAATCCAAGAAATCTAGTGAGTTGGTGGAGTTGTTTCTACCAAATAATTTATATTTGAAGAAAGACAGAAGTCTACTATAGCAGCCTAAAATGAGGTAAGTTTGCAAACCCTAACCCCTTGTAAAACTTTGGCTTTACTCTTATGTTAAATGTTCAGTGCTTATAATTAACACTGGCTATCATGGATAACTGTGAATAGGCACAGTTGGAAAATTTCCTGAAAATTAGATTTAAACTGGTACATTTTTTTTTTTTTTTTTTTACATACTTTTATAATCCCTGATGACTTTGGTGTACACTCTGTTATTGAGAGACATGATTCTCAAATACACACATGCACAACAGGACCTATGGACATGCATTAATGGAGAGATGTCAGCGTGCGGCTGCTACGCAGGAAGAGTGCCAAAGCGGTTGGGAGTATGATGCCTTGCTGAAGGGCACGTCGACGCTCAGGAAGAGAGCTGGCTCCTCTCCAGCAACCAAATCAACTTCAATCTTGAACCGACGACCTCCAATTCCCAATTTAGCTGTTGCCACTCCATTTATGCTGAGTGTAAATATATTGTTATATATACCTGACTGTGTGGACAAGGTTTAGATTTTTGATTTATCCTTTCAAAACAAATCTTAAACTTTTGTAGCAGAAAACATTTGAAATTGCCAATTAATGCAATTTACATCAACTAAAAGTGCAAATGTGGCTAGCAAGGTTGGTTTTTCTTGTGTGTTCAACATTAATGCCTTCAGGTCAATTTTGTTAAAAGACATGTTGAAAGTCTGGAGAAGTTTCTTTGTTCAAAGTTTGTTGGTTTGGTTCAACTGTTAAAAAAAACAAAACAGCAACAACAACAAAAAAGCCTTATCCGAATTCTCCAGAGTCTGGACGGACTACTTTCTAATTTGAACCACAGTGACCACAAAGGCTGATGATGTGACTCGCCCAGATTGACTGTAATCTGTTCATCAAAGCAGAACAAACACTGTGAAAGCTTCTTCATAAAGACAGAGGCATATGCTTTTCCACACAGATAGGATACAGATGTTTCAATATTCTCAATGGGTGAAGTGGAATGCAAAACAGATGTCCTGCTCCCTTCACCAAATTCAAACACAATGTTTTGGTGCTTATGCACAAAGTTGCATTCAATGGAAAAAGAAAAGTGAACTAAAACCAAAGCTTCTATCATTTGATGTCAAATCAGCGGTTGTGTTTATTTCAACAAAGGCAGCAACATCTGGAATCTTCAGGAGAGTAAACCCCGCTAAGAAAAAAAACAAGAGTAATAATTTCTGTGCACTTTGAATCTGCTCATGGCTGGAGTCAGTCAAATATTTTAAAATGTACTATTAGATTTACTCATCATTAACAATGAATAATTCTACATAGGGATAAGCACAAGGTGATCAATGATTTCTTTATCAGAAATGTGTCCTGAAAATTGAATACAATAATCTATAAATACCAGTTTATCATACCACTTTTTCACATTTCAGGGTTGTCTTATTTTCATGATATCGTTTAAATTAATAAATCTCACTTCAGGGTACTGTTGTTCTTTAACGAAACATTAAACAAGTATACATCAGATCAAATCAAATCAAAGCTTGATAAACGTAAAAATGTATAAATGACATCGTGATAAATATGTAGGCGGGGATGATGAAGGTTGTTTTTACACTTCTTTCAAAATAAAACGTGATGAAAAAAAATTGGGCGGTCTTGTCAGCATCGTTTTTCGTTCGCGCACGTTTTATGTACCTGGGTAGCCCGAATGAGCGGCCTTTCATCTCTCACACAACCCCAAAGTCGTTCAACAACACCGCCCTTGTCGGATGCCCTGAGAGACAAAACAGAAGCTACTTTTTGTTGCTAGCCAGCCGGTAGCAACAGCTAGCTAGCTATTTTTTTTTTTAAAGCAGGCAGGCAGGATGGAAAGCAGCGACGGGTGAGTGTTTAATGCTGCTGTTAAATAAATGCTTGGCGCTTGAAGTATGTTTGGCAGCAGCCCCAGAGGACACCATGCTGATTGTTTGGCAGATACGCACATCGCATCTCTCAGAAGATGATAAATCGTCGATGCTAATGCTAGGCCAAGAGGCTAACATGCTCTGTCGTTGAGTGTTGTTGTTCTATATCCTCATGTTTACCCAGCATGTGTGCAACTACAGTATTAATGCAGGTATTAATGGGTTATGGCTGTAGTTACTCTTTTCACCGAGACTCAAGTTTTGCAGGTAATTAAACAGGATTTGGGGGTTTAAATGCTCCTTTGTTTTGCTAACCAGTAGCATACTTACTGACTCTTACACTTTAATAGCTTTTAAAACAACATTTAGACTGATCATCTTTAGTTGTTATTTTAGAGCATGGTAGCAATGTGCCCCATTAGTACTAACTAAATGTTGATCTGGTTTGGGTCAAAGTAGTTATCATCAGCCTCGGTTGTCAGTGTGCTTGCAAAACAAAAGTAAACATCAACATATTAGACGAGTATACTTTGTTTGTTTACTTTTTTAACTTGCAGACCAGCTTCAGTACTTTGGTATGAGACGCATTGATGACCTTCACTGCAGACATCCACGATCAGCACGTTAAAAAGACAGATTGAACACATGATCAGGGTTTTTTTATTTGCAGAACTAATGCGTCCTTAAAAACAGTAAGGATGCAATCCATTATTCATGCTTTGTACTGTTTTTTAAAAAAAGTCTGCGTGAATCATCAAACAGTCTCCTTACCAAACTAAAACAAACTCTCTGTGTGTGTGGAAATGTATACTTAAAGTTATTTGCACATTTAATGATGCACATACCTGCACAACTATACAGCTAATCCATTGCAACTTTTGCACATCTAGTGTTCTGTCACATGTTTGTATTTTATTCTATATAAGCTTCATGTCAGCAGAAGCATTGCTTTATTTAAAATAGCTTTTTACTGTTTTTGCTCTTTTTCTTGCTATTCTTTTTTTTTTTGCATCAAAAACAAAGTCTTATTTCTTGTATGTGTAAATGTACGCGTCAATAAAAATCAATATTGATTCTATTATACTAATGTCTGTAATTGGATATGGTAACTATAAGCTTATCACATCAATAGCTGTGTTTTATTCTGTTAGGCTTAATTATAAACTGCAAACTGACTTCCTGGTAGCTACAACAAAATCAGAAAATCAAGTCTCTACAAGTAGCTGTAAACTGTCAGAAAAAAGTAAATCAGAGTGAGACAGAGAAGAAACATGTGGATATATCGTGATCATGTTTACAATCCTTCTCTGCTGTTTGCTCCTCAGAATGGAGGTGGACGGCTGGGACTCCAATCTGGAGGAGGAGCTGGGCATTTCTCTGGACGAGCTGAAGAAGTGGATTGAAGAAACTGTGGAGAAGAGCGAGATCGTGCAGAAGAAAAAGGCTCAGCTGACGGAACTCAAAGAATGGGTGGAGCAGAAAGAGGAAGAGGAGGCCAAGACAGAGATGCTTCTCAAAGATGCCAACCAGTAAGATCTTTCCCCAAATGCTGTTTTATTTTATTTGTGGTATTCTATTGTCTTTTAAGAAGTCAATAAACAGTGTTTTTATGCCGGTATGCAACTTTTTTGTTGTTGGTACAATTGTTTTCTACACCACATGCAAAATGTGAACACATCCTCCAGAATTCTAGATCTTTCTTAGCGATTAAGTTTTATTTTAATTGGATGTCAAGTTCTGGATAAATACTTCTCTAACCAATTTTAATTAATTTCTGCCTAAAACTCAAACCATCTCATATTTTTACTAACAAACACGAGACGAGTACCAGTGATAACACCGTATGGCATCTTTACGTCTTACAATAGAAATTGATTTAAGTATTTAGCTGATTTTCAGTTTTTATTGATCATTTTTATTTCTCCACCAAACATTGTCTTCATGTTTGACAATAGGAAGTCTGATTATTTTCACACTTTCTGCAGAAGCGATTAGATTTACAAAGTTCCATGGTTTAGGCCCAATGTGTGACTGAGCTGTGTTGTGGGGAATTCACTTCTTAATTGGATGCTGTCAGTTTAGGATGACAGTGATGGTAACACTCTTTAAAAACATTAATAGTAAATCTCTGAGGGTTTTCTCTTCAGACACAGATTACAGAGGAACCGCCAAAAGAAGAGCTGTCTTTTGCCCATTTTAGAGCCTGAAAATCTCTTTTTTATTTCCATGGGAACTTTGAGCAAGGAAACCAGAATTTGATGCCAACTGTGACAGTTGTGACAGTGAGGTAGTAGAAACACAGAATGTATACATTGATGAAGGGATTTTAATTTATTGGAATAAGTCATATAATGAGGGATGCACATCCTGCTTTGCAGTGATACAAGTGATTGTGTCTGACATTTCTCTCCCGTCTCTTCTCAGGTCGGTGTTGGAGTGTGAGAAACTGGTGAAGGAAACATACCAGAAGAACGGCCTGGTGTACCGTGAGAGCAGCTCAGAGGACGAGGGAGGTGGAGGTGGCCTGTTGTCCTCCGAGGTCATCGAGATAGACGATGACGACGATGATGATGTCATCGCAGTCGGCTGCCGTAAGTCGCTCTCTTGTGAGATCCATAACCATTTACTCCTTCAATGACATGTAAACATTCAGTTTTTTTAATACCTGCTTCACCTCTCTTTGTCACGTTCAGTGGTTCCTCCTAAGAAGACGCTCACTCCGAGCAAAGATCCATCGGTGAGAACAGTAAATGGCTTTATTACATTATTATGGATTTAAACTTTATTTGTTGAATGATTGATGTGAGCAGGTCTGAGGGGAGTTTAAAGAGATGGCTTTTTGAGTTTGAATTAATAAAAAAAAAAGATAGTCCACCGACAAAGAACATTTATGCACCAACAAAGACAGCACAAAAATTATTTTAGTGTTTTTTATGTCATGTTTTTGGTACCTAAATATTCCAGTGTATTATGTTGTATCTTGACTGTTATGGCAGCTGCTGTAACATTTTAATTTTGTACAAAGGATGAAAGAAGTCTCAATCTAAGAGTTTGTCTACACGCACTGTCTTACACATACTGGACATCATCTAAAACTGTGATTCCTTCAGATAACTTACAATACATGAAAATAAAAGTACAGTTTGTGCCATCCGAGCAGCTTTTATCCCAAGAGGGCATTTTTCATTAAGGATAAAATGAATTGAATTATACCAAAGGAAACATTTTTAGTGCCCTCTCATTTTAAAGTTCAATGAATGTGTATTTTGTATAAAAGTGTTTTTATAAGAGCTATGTACATATAAACTGAATTGAAACTAAGTGTAGAAAAATCAAAGAAGGTGCCTATATATCATTACGGGCAGCAAAAGACAATGACCTCTTATGTCCTAAAATACAGTTAGTACCATGTAAGTTAGTGTGCATTAGGACAGCACTCACACATGTCCTCTCTCTCCTGTGTGATTTAATCATGGTCTGTTCTTAGAAAATGCCTTTGTTCTGTATTCAGCTGTCCTGCCTTATGAAGCACTATTGATGAGTTTTCCCCAAAACTGAGTAAGAAAAATAAAATGTTAAAGGTTTTGCTCACTTTTGATAATGGCCATGCAGCAGGTGTTTGACAAAGGTTTACAGAAATGCTCACAAGGAAACATTATTGTTGGTTTGATAGCAAACATCTATGAGGGGAAACTTTTCTCAGTATTTGCCTCTTATATGGATTTCTTCAGGTAAAAGACACCTCTGCAGCTCTACAGAAAACAGTGCAGCAGGTGAAGAAGTTGACCCAAATAGTCAACAAGCCTGGTGTTCCATTGATTCGATCTCCAATGCAGTCTACATCCCTGACAAGTGAGACCACATACTCGGTCATGCATGTGTTACACCTGTGGCAAAGTATTTAATGTAAAGTACTACTGTGTATGTGACTCTCATTCCCTCCAGGTATACATAGTTCAGCTCCAGCAGTGTTTGTGTCCCAGCTTTCGTCTCATTCCATGACCCAGCCGAACCCAAACATCAAAGAGGAAGAGCTCAGAGTCGGGATGATCATTCTGGGAAAGAAGCGCACCAAGACCTGGCACAGAGGCGCCCTTGTTGCCATCAACCCTGTCGGTGTGTAACCAGAACATTTCATCATACTTTAGGAGAACTTTAAAAATGATATTAATCACTCAACACCTCTTTGTTTCCTCATGTATGAAGTCTTTGCTTGAATGTTTCTAATCTGCCCAAATTCAGGAAACGGTGTTTTCAAGTATAAAGTGAAGTTTGATAAAGGAAAGAGTCTGCTGTCAGGAAATCACGTGGCATTCGACTACAACCCCATCCTGGAGAGTCTGTTCGTCGGGGCTCGTGTAGTCGCCAAGTACAAGGACGGCAACCTGGTGTGGCTCTATGCTGGCATAGTGGCAGAGATGCCCAACACAAGAACAAGATGAGGTGGGCACAAATACTTTATCAGACTTAAATCTGAAACATGAATAATTTTTACACCTAAAAATAAAATGTTAGTTGTCGCTGGCTTACAAAATGTTCCATTAGAAGACCCTTCACATAAATCACAGGATGTAACCTCTGGATCAGTGGTTCTCCATGGGTCTAGACTCAGGACCCACCACCAGCTCCTTCATGGAAAATTGTGACCCGAATTTCAGATATTTTTCAACCAATCAGATTTGTTTAATGTGAAATAGTGCAGTTTGGACTTCAGACAGTACGACACGTGACAGAACAAAGAAACAAAATAAAACAAACATGTTGGAAAGCGCTTCGTAGACTTTTTTTGACACAATATTTTTTCCAGACACAGATTAGCGGCCCACTGAAAATGGAGCCGCGACCCACTTTTGGTCCCGACCCACCGGTTGAGAAACACTGCTCTAGATAATAACATCTGCTTTGTGTTTCAGATTTCTGATCTTCTTTGATGATGGCTACGCTTCATATGTTAATCTTCCTGACCTTTTCCCTGTTTGCCGACCATGTAAGCGCCCGTTTCTCTATTTAGTCTTTTTTTCTTTGAAGCCTGGAGAAATCTGTAATTTGTCTAGCTTTTAAATATGTTGAGGTTTGTTAAAGCTGGCAGAAGGTTTCTGGTGACTTCTTGAGTAAAAAAAATTGTCGCTGTAAGGGAGATTTTTTTTGCCTTGTTTTTACAGTGAAGCGTACCTGGGAGGACATTGAGGATGCATCATGTCGAGACTTCATTGAGGAGTACATCACTGCATATCCCAGCAGGCCTATGGTGCTCCTAAAGGTTGGACAGATCATCAAGACAGAGTGGGAGGGAACGTGGTGGAAGAGCAAAGTGGAGGAGGTGGATGGAAGCTTGGTCAAGATCCTCTTTTTGGTATGCGGATGGAGACAACTAAGAATCAAACACTTTGCTGTAAAAGGCAGGGAGGGGTTATGTTTATAGCCAGTGACAACATCAGTTTGGATGGTAGTGTACTTATCAGTGAAACAGTTGATGTTGAGTGAATGTTTTGTGTTGTTCAGGATGATAAGAGGAGCGAGTGGATCTACAGAGGCTCCACCAGGTTGGAGCCAATGTTCAACCTGAAGATGACCTCTGCCAACACGCAGGAGAAGAAGCTGGCAGGACAGCAGAGGTCACGACCTAACATGGGTAACACACACACACACACGTATTACTGTGTATACACAAACACTCACACAATGAATCACCACATGCAATTTGTATGCGACATCTTGAAGTCACTTAATGTCTTTCTGTCTGTTCTGATTTTTAGGGGCGTTAAGGAGTAAGGGTCCAGTAGTTCAGTACACCAGCGACGGACATGTCGGAGCCTCTCCTGTGAAATCACCACAGCCCTCACCCAGCCAGTCTTCACTGACACCACAACCTCCATCCCGGCCTCAGCCCCAGCAGCCCCAGCAGCCCCAGCAGCCACAGATCCAACACACCCCTCAGCCTCCGCAGCCACTGCAGCCCCTACAGCCCCTACAGCCCCTACAGCCCCTACAGCCCCCACAGCCCCTACAGCCCCTACAGCCCCCACAGCCCCACAGCCCCCACAGCCCACACAGCCCCCACAGCCCCACAACCTCCCCGTGTTGAGTAAGTGATACCTTCTGATCATCTAGCTCCAACATTTTCTAAAGGCATTTATCTGTGATGTTTAACTACACACAGAAAAACTGAAGCTTGGTCGATTTTTTTTTCTTTTGTTGGAGCCCTCTTTAGAATGCAAACAAATTATCCAAGCAAAGTCAACCAAAATTTAATAGGAATACTGAGATGGCCACTTCAATGCACTAATATGGGACACAGAAATTATTTTTTGCTGCCTGCTCCATTGAAAGGAAATTCAGTTTTTGATTTAGAGAAAGTAGTTCACTCTGCTTAAGGTTTTTTTTTGCCGACCTGCCATGGTGCAACTCCTCACCTTGTTTCTGGGATAATGAAATGTATCTTAGGGACATTGTGACGTCACTGTTTTGTGTTACAGTAGGAGCCGAGACTCACATTTTGATCCAGAGATGGCAGAAAAACGCTGCTACAGAGTGACTGTTTTAAAGGAACTAATCGATGCTTTCAGACACCTGGGAGCAGTACAATAAGCTGTTACTTGTCTGTTAAGGAGACATATTGCCACTCTGTGGAGCATCTAAAGCAAATGTCTACGCAGACACTTCATTTCAGCACATATTGAATTAACACTAAGCAACATTGGTGTTCATTTGGAATTGGCCTAATAAATACATTTACAGTTCTTGCAAAAAGAAAACAAGCTGACACAACAATATTGAGGGGAAAAGCATAGTCATGTTTCAACTTCAACTAAACATTACACATGTAGTAATGTCACAGAAACAACATTATCTATACGGCTATGAATGTAAAATCTGAGTGTTAATGACTGATCTTTTCTCCTCGCTGTCCTCAAGCAACAAGCATCAGATGGCAAAGAAGAGCACTTCTCCGTTTGTCCCAGGAGTTGGAGGCACTCATGCCTCCAAAGTCATGCAGTCTCTTTCCTCCAGTCCCAGCAACTTCACTGGGTGAGTCCACCTGATTCTTTCTGTCTAATAAGTTGACACAGGATAAAAGGTCTGTTGAAAGGGATATCATCTTAGTTATTTTTTTCTCTTTGTCTCTTGTTTTGTCCTTCCACAGAGTGAGAATACTGAATACTCAAAATACTACTACACTAACTTTTGCACAACCGTATCAGAGACAGTTGCCCACTCTGGCTGGAGCCCCTCCTCCTGTCACCCACGCTGTGGCGACCATCCCACATCAACCTGCGTACCGAGCCCCGACAGACCGCATCTTCTACCTGACGCACACTTGCCAGCCTGCGTGTCTGAACAGAGTCCGCCCTGTGAAACCAGACCTGCACCGCGGAAAGAACCCGCTCCTCACACCTTTACTGTACGATTTCAGACGTATGACAGGGCGACGCAAAGTCAACCGCAAGGTACAGAGTGCCTCTCTAACCATTCATTTTTTGACATGTTTTGCTTTTATTATTTCAACATGAACTGAACTCAACGTCTCTTTGTGTCCATCCCTCAGATGTCCTTCCATGTGATCTACAAGGCCCCTTGTGGTCTTTGTCTTCGGAACATGTTAGAGATCCAGCAGTACCTCTTCCAGACCCGCTGTGACTTTATATTCCTGGAGATGTTCTGTCTCGACCCCTATGTGCTGGTGGACCGGCCCTTCCAGCCTCAGAGGCCATTCTACTACATCCCCGACATCACAGGCGGAAAGGAAGATATCCCCCTCTCCTGCGTCAATGAGATCGATACCACCCCGCCTCCTAATGTAGCTTACAGTAAGGCTTGTTTTAGGATCAGAACAAAGGAGAGATTAACTTGACCTTGTGCCAGGAACAGGGGAATAAATATCATATGTCTTCTAAGAAGATCAATGTGTCAGAAAAGGCATTCACAGAGTCATAGAGGGGAGCTTCACAGATTCATCCAAATCTGTTTATTGGCACTTTTATATATCCTAGATTTATGACATAAAGGGAAATATTAGACTAATTAAGCCCAAATAAGACTGATTTTGTTTTTATTTTGATGATTTTGGCTTACAGCTCACTACAATTAAAAAAAAAAAAAAAAATCCAGGATCTCAAAATATTAGACTATTACATAAGATTTATAATACAGATATATCAACCCTTCTGAAAAGTATGTTCATATACTCGGTACTCGGTCGGGGCTCCTTTTGCATGAATTACTGAATCGATGTGGTGTGGCATGGAGGCAGTCAGCCTGTGGCACTGCTGAGGTGTTATGTTGCTTTGATAGCAGCCTTCAGCTCGTCTGTATTGTTAGGTCTGGTGTCTCTCATCTTCCTCTTGACAGCCCCATTGATTCTCTATGGGGTTCAGGTCAGGTGAGTTGGCTTGCCAATCAAGCACAATAATACCATGGTCAGCAACCAGTGACTGGTAGATTGTTGTAGTATTTTACATGGTTTTTTTAATATGTTTTTTACTTTACTGAGAGCTATTTTGGAAAGTATTTAATCCCCTGTTCCATATGCAGGTGTTGTGAAACATGTACCAAAAAAAAGAAAAGATCACCTCTCCATGCAGCGGCATGTTGTTGCCCTGACTGTGTTCAGAAATCCCAGTGGAATAAGTCATTATAGAGAGACTTATAGATTTTTCTTTTCTCTCTCCTTAAGGTAAAGAGCGCATTCCTGAAGATGGAGTTTATATCAACACCAGTGCAGACTTCCTGGTCGGCTGTGAATGTACTGACGGCTGTCGAGACAAGTCAGTGATGCTTCTCAACTCTGAACCACCGTTCTTTAAAATTCTTCCACTGTTGATGATCTGAACACGTCTTTATGTCTTTATTAAAGATCCAAATGCTCGTGCCACCAGCTGACCCTGCAGGCCACAGGCTGTACACCAGGGGCCCAGATCAACACAAGCGCTGGATTTTTACACAAACGATTAGAGGAGTGTCTCCCCACAGGGTCAGACATGAAACACGCACCAAAGCACCTCCAACCTCATAAGAAGTTCATTATAATTATTGTCTCGTCTAACAGTAATCCATCCTTCTCTCTGATTTTGTTCCCTCTCTCAGGATTTATGAGTGTAATAAGAGGTGTAAATGCTGTGCTGAGATGTGTACTAATCGACTAGTGCAGCACGGCCTGCAGGTGCGTCTCCAGCTCTTTAAGACCCAGAACAAGGGCTGGGGCATCCGATGTCTGGACGACGTGGCCAAGGGCTCTTTCGTCTGTATTTATGCTGGTGAGGAAGAGGGGCAGACCTATAACAGATTTCTTCAGTTTCTTTAAGGGCAGAGGGGATGGAGAATCAGCAGTCATGCAGACAATCATTTTGCCCTCTCACCCTTTATCTCCCGTTTCTCCAGGTAAAATTTTAACGGACGACTTTGCCGACAAAGAAGGCCTAGAGATGGGTGACGAGTATTTTGCTAATTTAGACCACATTGAGAGTGTGGAGAATTTCAAGGAGGGCTACGAGAGCGAGGCTCACTGCTCGGACAGCGAGGGGAGCGGTGTGGATGTATCCAGAATCAAAATACAACCATCTGCTTTAGTATCTAATAACCCCGTGGGCCGACCGTCCAAAAAAAGTGAGTCCCAGCCCAACCATGAAGGATCTTGTTGGTCTTTTACACATCTGGTTTGAAGTCTTGGAAGTGTTTGTTCCACTAAGCATAGCTCATCAATGTCCACTTTTTCTTCACTCTTTTTTTTCCTCTTCTTTTTCTTTCTGCCGCAGCTCGAAGCCCAAGCTCATCGGGGGACAGTAACGATGACGACGACAAGGATTCAAAGAGCGAGGATGAAAGTGACAGTTCAGATGACACGTTTGTGAAGGAAAGCTACTTCAGCTCCAGCTCTGTGTGGAGAAGTTACACCACACGGGGGCAGGTCAAAGGCAACAAGGAAGGTGAGCTGAAGGAAGATGATGACACCGTTTTAATCCAACAGATAAATATGTTTATTTGAAAGTTAGGTTTGATTCTTAACCAAACCTTTTTAAACACATTATAAGTGATGTGATATTATGTGCTAAATAGTGAGCTTGAGAGTTGAATGTTAACAGAAACCTTTGGATAAAGCTTGGCTAGCTATTTGACCCTTTCCCTTTTGTTTATGCTAAACTGCCTACTGCCTCTAATGCCAGCTAATTTATAGTCCATCTACTGTATGACTCAGAAGTTTATATCTTTGTTAAATGTTGATTATCGTAACATACATACATCTGTATGTCTTGGAAATTAATTGGCATTTGCCTGTTAATTTAACGTTTCAGATTAAAAGGATCATCAGTATTCATTTAAACAACACCCTGCGACCCTAAAAAACCAGTGTCAAAGCCAGGCGTACATTGTGTGAATTCAGGCTGATTTAGACCCGATTTCTCAGTCGAACAAAACATATTTAAGTTGAGTCGAACTTCAGGCCGATCTCCTGGCGTTAGTCGTACAGCTGCAGACACTCACACAGTGTGGGCAGAGCCACAAGCCCACTCTGGGACTCTTTTTCGTGATTTCACCTGCACAGACTGACACGCAGCTTCTGAAATCACCATGGAAACATCAGGCATGCCTGTTTAATCTTATTCATATTCCCCCTCCTTTCATGAAAAAAAAAAACCCCAAGCAGAAACATCTGCAGACCTCAAGCGGACAGAGAATATTTAATTTAGCTGCCAGTTAGCTTGTGTTTAGGGGTGATGCTAAGTGTGTGACAGAGAGAGAGAGAGAGCTTTTTTACTGGTGTAAGGTGCACAGTGTCTGCTCTCAGGTCATGCCCTACAATGGGGTCGTATATTGTCATTCCATAAAACGCGAGCTTTGCGTTATAAACAATTTAGTCGCACTGTGTGAGCTGACTCTCCACCTCTAATTTTAAACAATCATACAGTGTACACCGGGCTGCAGGTGAAGTCTCAGACTTGAAGGTGAATTAGAGTTTATTTCTCTTTATTTCTGATTTCTCTTATAACTGGGAATATCTTCACTGTTTCTCCTGCATTGATTTTGTGAGTCCAGAGGGAGGTTTGTTAGATTTATCTTACCTCTGTTCACACACCTCTCCCCTTCCTGCCTCAGGGAGTCAAGACAGTAAAGATGGATTGAGTGCTTCCGTCAAAGGGCCTGATGATGATAAACCTCCACCCATGCCAGAGGAGATGGGGAAAAGTAAAGTGGCTTCATGGCTTACCAGTCAGGGGATAAAGAAGGTGAGTACAGAGGACATAAAGTTTAAATAACATTTCCAAGAACTTTAAACTTGCATCTCTTAATTTTCTTGCATTGTGATCGATAACGCTGCTTTTTTTGTTGTTTCTTTCAGGAATCTGGAGACAGCAAAAGGTGTGATACATTTATGGGCTGTTTCAATGATTCAACATTTTTATGAACGACATTTGAACTCTTTAAAGACATAGATAGAGTGTTGTTAAGATGAATTTTGTGTTCCTTGCAGTCAAGTGAAGTCAGAAACAGGAAAGAAGCAGGATGTGATGACACTCTCTGACAGTGATGATGTTCAGACCATCAGCTCTGGATCTGACGACAACAAAGAGAAGGAGAAAGTCACCCCTGGTGAGGAAAAAGGAAAAGAGTCAAATCAATTAATTCTACACCACATTGATTATGATCACGTGATTTTGACCGTTTCTTCTCTCCCCGCTGCTCTTTCTTAGGCGTGACTAAGAAGCAGGTCGCAGTGAAATCTACCCGAGGCATCGCCCTGAAGGGCAGCCACGGGATGATGGTGAAAACGGGTCCACCCGGAGGTGGTGGAGGGCAGGGGGGTCAGGGAGGAAAAAAAGGACAGCAGGGACAGACGGGAGGAGGAACTGAAAATGCTCACAGGAACACCCGTCTGTTCTTTGACGGTGAAGAGTCCTGCTACATCATCGATGCCAAGCTGGAAGGAAATCTCGGCCGTTACCTCAATGTGAGTGTCATTTAAAGCATCAAAGAGTGTAACCACCAACAGTCTGCTCCTTTTGTGGTTATATTTAATATTGTCTTCTCTGTCTGCTCTCTGTATTACAGCACAGTTGTAGTCCTAACCTTTTTGTCCAGAATGTGTTCGTGGACACACATGACCTGCGCTTTCCCTGGGTGGCGTTCTTTGCCAGCAAGTGAGTTTTGAAACAAGTTTGTGTAAAATTTACTTCAATTTCCTTTTACGTTTCATCAAACTTTTGGAGCATCAGAAGAATTATGCAAGACTTTATAGCTTGAATAGGCCGCAAACTAAATGTGGGAGTATGTTTTTCAAGCAGTAATTTGTTTGAAATTACATATTTTAGAAACTTAAATTATGTAATTGATATTTTTTTGACAACGTGTTAAATGACTTTCTGAAAATTAGAATCTACAGCTCACCTCTTATTTCTACAGAGCTTGAGAGGAAGTTTAAACTCACTATTCAATTTAAACTTTGGTGTTACCTTCACTTTGTAATGCTCTTATATAGTATATTCTAAAAAAAACTACTCTTGACCTAAAATAAAACACAGGTAGTTACTAGTGGAGTGGAAGATTTAAAAGCTAAAAGGACAGATATCTTCTTAAGTGTTGGTTGAAACTGATTAGAGCCAAACATTAGAAGGACTGGGTGGGGAATGGAAATGCAATTATCAGGTGGCCAGAAAAACAAGACTCCAGGTGCAATTTTAAATATATATATTTTTAAAAGCTTTTAAGGGACGCCAGATAGTCTAGCTGCCCACCCCATGTACTGATGCTACAGTCCTCGTCACCTCCATCGTGGGTTCAAATCCGACCTCTGCCCTTTGCTGCATGTCATCCTCTACTCTCTCCTCCCGACATGTCCTGTCTCTCTTCAGCTGTCTTATCTAATGAAGGCAAAAAGTTCCAATAAAATAACTTTTAAAAAATCTGTCCTTGTTAAGGCGGATCCGAGCCGGCACAGAGCTGACCTGGGACTACAACTACGAGGTGGGCAGTGTGGAGGGGAAGGTGCTGCTCTGCTGCTGTGGATCAACCGAGTGCAGAGGAAGACTGCTGTGATCTTCATCCGTCATGGACGTCACTCCCTCTTGTGCATCTTTAAGAAGACTTCGAGGAGCCCTTCAACACTGTTTTTATAAGTTGAACAACTGTTATCATTTTTATTATATTTCAGCTGTTTTTTTGCCTTTATTTTATATGAACATATTTTTCCTGATTGTCTCATTTTATCCATGACCAGTTTCTGAATAAAAGTTTTTTTTTTCTTGATGGAACCAAAGCTCCTGCATCTGCACTTTTGTTGCACTAACACAGAATATAAGAAAGATCGAGTTTTGAGCTGTTGTTATTATAATGGGTTGATTATAAAGGTTAATATATAAAAGAGCACTGAAGAGTCAAATAGCACATGTTGGGACAGAGGTTACTCTCACTAATGTAGCTGTACAATATAAACAGTATTTCTCAATTATTTAGTGCTTCACATGCATTTACTCTTCCAACCAGATGTTTCTGTGTGACTTAAACCTAGTTGTTACTCATTAATAAGACACTGCAAATCAGTGTTTTCAAATTGGCTACAGTATGTTTCATTTCTTTATAGCATTTGATCAGAAACATCTCTGTATTTGAAGTTGCCCTCTGGCGGATTAGCCAATCAGCTTGTCCCAGAGAAAGATTAATAAACCGACAAGCATCCAAGGATTTCACAAAGACAAAAAAAAATCCTCTCTGATGCTGCTGTAATTTTTCTATCCTTAAGGGCTCATTCCGAGACTTTTCTCACATTTTCGCAATAATGTTTTACTACCCCACAGTTTTAAAGCGTCACTCGGGATGTTTTTCTACAATCTGGTGAGTTAAAAGTCCGTTCACTGTTTTTTTTAATCGATTTTAAAATAGAGGAAAATGTTGAAGATGTAGCCTTATCTGTTATGTTGCCATGAAACAATTGTACCATAGTTTAAGGCTACGACGCTTGAAATTAAAAATGAAATCCACATTTTACGGAAGTGTTCATAAGTTTTACCTGCTACATGTACATTGAGTAACATAATGATGTAGATGAAGTGACTACAAAGTAAACTGGGGGGTTTTTATAAATTGGTAAGAACGTAAGAAGTTTGTCTGAAACATTGATACTTAATATGTTTGCTGACTGAAGTAAATCATATTTCCATTGATCTGTAAGGGAGGTTTTTTTTTTGTGTCTGTGTTTTTAGGAAATGTATTTTTCGCTGTTGTAACCATTTTATTCATTTAAAACACAATTTCAGATCTCCACCATATCAGTTATATGCTTTAATTGTTTCATTAATAACTAATCTTATGAATGTGTTGTAGCCTAATGTTAGATTTTGAAGCTGCCACACACTTTGGGTGAGTAACCTTCACAGTGCTTCAGAAAAAAAAGAAAAGCTGAGTGCAGGTGCAGCTGAAGAAATTAAAATAAAAACACCGAGTTTGAGCCTTTGAAGCTTGTTTTTCAAAAGACAACATGCTTTGAAGTTCAAAGGTCAAATAAGTCTCAATGGGGGGGGGGAATCGTATTTTTCTTTTAAGATTATTTGGCTGTTAAAGGACACTTGAAGGAATAGAGTCTCGTTTTTACTTTAAAAAAAAAATCTATATAGCCTTGGCTTTAAGTAAGAGCATGTTGTAAGAGCAGATTGACAAAAGTTTAAATAAAAAAATAAAAATCCGCCATTATTTATTTATTTTCATGTATTACTGACACCTGCAACTGACTAGCATCTGAGTACATAATTGGCTGAGTATGTGGTACCCTGTTGGTCGTTTCTAACAGTGTAATTATACAGGACTGAAAAAAAATACAACTGTTTGCACATTTCAAATGTAAACCCATCAGCTGATTCAAGTTTACCCAAGAAATGTGTTTAAAAAAAAAAACACAGATTTTAGCCGTCAAAACGTTTTTTTCTGATTATTTCTTCAGTTTAGCCATAAAACACTAAACGTAGGCTATTAATAAAGAACTTCGATGTGGAGTCAGATTCTAAATGTATTCATATAAATCAGGGAACTTGAAAAAAGCTACAGTAATGACAGAACATGTCAGCAAATACATCAATGTTGAACAATGCCCCCAAAATGACCCAATATCGCTTTTTGCCCTGATGAGAAAAAGGTCACATTGTATCCTTTCTCGTCTACTTTCAGGCTGGTTGCTACAAAAGGCATCAGAGTTACTCGTCGTGACTTCCTGAAAGTCAACGTCAAAGTGACCTGGTAAGAAGTGTACTTTGTCACTGTCATGTCACTGGACTGAGTTTGGATTTGTTCAGTTATGATAAAATATCCCAAACAGCGATGACATCGTGAACTACGTGCTGGAGCGGGTACCACCACCTCTGCCAGATCTGCCTCGACCTCGCTTCTCCCTCTACCTCTCCTCCCAGCTGCAGTATGGCATCATCCTCGTATTCCACCGACAGTGTGTCATTTTCCTTGGTAAAAATGATAATGATCATAATAAATGATGGAGGGATGGGCTCTGGTTATTGATGTTGGCCCCATCTTCTTTCCAGAGGAACTTCAGTCAGTCGTGGGCCAGCTGGTGAAACAGAGGACTTCCCAGAAAATTGATATGGATGAACACAGCAGGTGAGACTAGGTGCTCAACGTGACCAAAATCGTCCTCCACTTACAAACCCATTAAAACTCCTGTTTCCTCTCAGACTTGCTCTGGACTTCCCAGATGCCCTGACTCTCCTGGAAGAGGCAGAAGGAGCTCCAGACCCTTTGTTTGGAGTGATGTCTATGCATGATTCAATGCCCAGTCCTACTACTCTGATAGAGGTACCAAAATACACACATTTTGGGTGAAATGTAATGCATAGCAGTCATTGGGGGACATCTTTAAATCATCTCAATAATTCTGTGTCTCTAAGATGGGAAAGGACTTTCTGAGAGAAACCTCTCCGGAGCATCCTGAACAGACCAGTCCTTCTGTTGCCGCAGCTCTAGACAACGGTATGACTGAATGTTCTTCATAAACATATAATACTCATCTCTTCAGGGTGTTGGATTATTGCAGAAGGAAACTGAATGTAATGCAGAAGCGAAAAAAAATGATGATTGATTAACTGCCTGGTAAATGAATGAATGCAATCAATGTCTCTCACAACTGCTTAAAGGTACAAACACAAAATGAAATGAAATTGAGTTATAATTGAATAAAGGATCAAATGTATCCTGAACTGATAACACAATACTATGATGCCATTAAAATATGATGGCTTAAAAAGACAAAGAGAAATTGAACATACCATGAGAAGCTATTCTTTTAGGGATGTTGTCATCTCTTTGGTTGTTTCATGGTTTCTCTTTAATCACACATACTATTTAAAGGCAAGTTACAAAGGAGAATGTCCTGCAGTTGTTGCTTGAATCAAATAAATAAATACTTATAATCCAAGCGGTCTCTTAAACCTTGTAAAATTGTATGTCTATGGAATTCCCAACTTACCTCCATATTTTCCTAAAGCTCAACCAAAACAGAACAATTGCTTCTACTGTCTCTCTGTAGTCTTTAATTCTATAACTTGTGCAAGTACATGTATGGTTTTCTTTAATAGGATCCCCATTAGCACCAGCATATTGGCTATTCTTCCTGGGGTCCAACACACATGTAGTCATACACACTTATACAAAGAAAAAAAAACCCAATCAAATTTCCTGAAATACTGATTTACTGTAAACCCCAACTGCCTTGACTGACAAGCAGGCAGAGTGATACCTTATCTCCTGATTTGCATCTCCCTGATTAGAAGGCGCTTGAGTGCTGAACACATCGTTATTTTTGGAATGTAAGTCTGGCAGTGGGATGGGATGGGCCACCAGGATCTCATTCAGGAAATCACATTTTGTACATACAAAGCATACAAACAAAACACAAAATGGTTAGTCCCATCATTGGATTACGTTTTCTGCCTCAGTTGTGTTCAATTCACTGCTGGACTTCACTGTGATTAAAAGGAAGGGATTTTGTTCAATAGATTTAGAATTCAATGTGTACCAGTTAAGCTGCAACATCCTGCATGGAAAAATTAATCTAATGTGGAAAATTGATGGGCTTCAGTAACCAAGGGTGACAACACTGAGGCCATGCCAGTGTTTTATGCAGTCTGTGTTCCCAGTCCGTTATAATGCATGAAGACATTTTGTTTAATGGTTCAGATGACTTTTGTGAAGTACAATAAGACAATGTGCTAAATGTGAGCTCTTGACTATTATTCTTAAGCACTCCCAAAATGTTATAAATCTGATTTTAAAACGTAAAAAGCAGTTGTGTTTGTTGGTAAATTAGTGATTTATTACAAAAATGTCTGCCATCCATCCATCCATCCAACCAATGAACAATAGTGTAAAAATTTGTAAATATTTGATACTTGATGAGTAATGCACAACTAGAATAAGACAATTATTTGCTGTTCAGCTTTAATTAAAACTCATCTTTATAGAAAGATGTAAAATGTGTTCAATTATGAACAGTATGTTGGATTCTGTATGTACGGTTTGTTGATACAGGTCTTAGGGAGACATAGTTCTTATAGAGCAGATCCAGGCAGTTATGCAGAGCCACAGAGAGATACTGAAGGTCAGGTCAGAGCCGAATGCCTTCAACAACATCCTCTTAATTAGCAGAGGCTGATGCTGCAGTGTCAGGAAGTGTTGTGAAGCTGAATGCACTCTACAGAAGAGAGCACTCTAATTGCAGCTTGATTATCTGTATACTCCTGCTGGTTTGTCAATTCTCTAAAGTAATGTGTTTTTCTTTTTTTAAAAGTCATGATTTTTCTCATTAGGCATAACTGCATCTCCAGAAACCATCACTCTGAGAGAGATGGAGCCGGTCGCTATTCCCATCGCAGAGGTACAGCCGTCAGAAGACATCTATACACATTTTAGATCATATGCCCTATAGTTCCTGAATTTCAATCATTTCCTCCTCTCTTTCTCCTTTTTGTATGAAGTTTGAGGGCGTGGAGCTCCTCGATCAGCAGCCATATACTATGGACGTCCTCTTGGCCCAAACAGACCATTTTCCAGAAGGTTTGAGTCAAAAAATAGGAGCTATTTTTCCTCTAAAACAAAGGTGTCAGTTTGGGGGTTTTGGGATGGGAAGGAATTAGATTATCTCCTCTGTATTTTAACAGGAGAGTTAGAGATACCAAGAGAGGAAGTAGCACCAGGAGACCGAGAGAGGGGACTGGAAGAAGGTGGAAGAGACGCAGACCTGGAGAGAGAGGGAGCAAAGGAGCCCACAGCATCCACTCTTGAGTAAATGATTCAGATTCATGTGGAAATAAAAGCAGAAACAGACGAACACGAGCACACACTGACTATGTCTCTATCATTATCAGATTACAGCCCACTGCTACTCTCTCTGGTGAAGAAGCCATGTTGCTGCCTGATGAAGAGTCTGCAGAGATGCCTGGACCCCCCACAGACCAGCTCACCCCCGTGTCGGCGCCCCCTCTCCCTTCCCCTCAGCCTGCAGCAAGGGGACGTGAGAGACCAACTCTGGAGTTAGAGGTGCAGGCTTGTGTTGTTTTTCTTGAAGAGACAGAAATATGGTACCTCTTTTCCCGGTTTATGGGTTGTAATAAGTACGAGTACTTCATGAGAATGAGTTAAGAACATTTATTGCCAGGTTGGTTTCTTGTTATGAATTGGTACTGAGAGTACAGTTGGAGAAAAGTTCTGGTGTATTTCCTCACACATACACACACACACAGGATGTTCCTCCTGCCGAGGTGAAGAAGAAGAGGAAGAGGCAGCTGATCTTCTTTGACCCGGAGACGCAGATCCCGCAGGCGGTGCTGCAGCAGCAGATCGACAACCCTCAAACTGAGACCAGAAAACTAAACCTCCCACTTCCCTCTCCTCAAAGGCTTCTCCCTGCTGCTGAGCTGTTCAACAATCCCTGCAACTGTCAGTGACACACACACGCACACACGCGCACACACACACACACACACACACGCACACGCGCACACACACGCACTATAACCTCTGTCTGAGAGTTGATCACTGAAGTAACAAACAACTTAGCAAAGAGTTATTGCCTCTCATATGAGTTTAGTATTAGTTTTGTGATAAATGTTATCCAGAAAAAAAGAGTAATATTGTTTAGACATGGTAGAGCTTTGGTATGAAACAAAGGTGTGAATAAAAAACGCCACTAACTAAAGTGTGTGTAACCTTGAACTAGGACACATTGCTAATATAAACTCCATAAATAGTTCATGTAATTAGAGTGAATGAATGCAAAGTTAAGTTCTTTGGATCAGGGTCCCGTTGGGTCTGATGCAGCAGTATATTTCCAAAAGCACAGAACAGAACAGAGCACAAAACAAAACAATAACATGAAGAGTCCTTAGGAACAAATGAAAAACAAAGACAAAGAGCCATGTGAATCGATGTAACATGATGTAAAAACACACCAGTAGGACATGACAAAAGGCAAAGCTCTGCATGAGTTACCGCAGTACAGATAGGGTCAAGCATGACCAGTCAAAATACTTTATGACACCGTTTAGCATCACACTGTGAGATATTTGACCTCAGCATGTCAGCATCATCTTTCATACTGACATTGCTATGAGTCATTCTATTCTTCAGAGCTAAATGCTAACTGTGACAAGTCTCCCTTCTCTTTAGCACACATCATGTTTACCCTGTTAGTTAAGCTTGTTAAACATTTTACTACAAGCATTCATCACGTAGTCCAGCGGCCCTTCTGAAATGCCTTTAGACTTTATGTTTATGTTTAAGACCTGATGAGGTCACTGGATGACAGGCAAAGGCATTGGCTATCCCGGTTCATCTTGAGGGGGGGGGGGGGTACCTATACTCATTTTTTGATGTAACACATGAAGAAGTTTGTTGAGGCATTTCAGTCAAGACGGGCGCAGAAATTCAATCAACAGACTGACGTTGCCATCTGTGTAGCCAAGCCATCAGAGTGTCTAAATATAAACACTGAAATGTTGTCAGATTTATGGTGATTAATTCATTTAATTACCGTGAACAAATGGCTGAGATACCGGCCGTTACTCTATGCCAGGAGTATGCCGTGTGCAAGCTCAATGCTAGCTTCTAACAAACACTTAATAATTAGTGCATTACAACAGATTTCAAGCTGCGGGTAAATGTTTGGCTTGGACTGAGGCAGCCGTATTACATCACTTCACTCTTTTCACTCTTTGTTTAGACAATGACATACAGCATCACCATCGTTACAATAAACATCAGTAATCCACCAAATAATCTTCACAAAAACACAGGTCATTGTATAATATAACCTTAGAAATTACAGCCCTGTTTTTCATAAACCATGAGGAGTTTCCCTTTTTCTGTGTTGCACTTAAAACATATTGTGTAGTCAAACAGTTCGGCATATTTCCTGTAAAATGTGAAAAAAGCTGCTCATTCTCTGTCAGTGGGGTTATTTGTGTTTTAAGGTGAGCTTGTTTTTCTTCCCCAACAGTGCTGCTAGTTTTATATGACATTACTCAAGTTACCTTGTTCAAAATAAACCACAAAGATTTTTCCCTGCAGTCTTGCCTGAAGAGGTGCTGTTTCTATGGAGACGAGCAGCGATTATCAGACCTGTCTCAGGCCCGGACCTGCAGGTCGGAGAGCAAGGGCCCGAGTCCACCGACTCTGAGAAGGAACGACAGCGAGAGATGGAGGAGGCGGCCCAAATAGAGGAGATACTTGAGCTCAGCCCCAAGGAGGTGTGGGAGTGTGTGTGTGTGTTTATTTGTGCGTCAGATCTGAAAAGCCTTTAAGAAAAAAATGACTTTGTGTGTGAATGCAGGTCCCCAGAGATGTGGCAGAGGAAGAGATGTTTGACATTTCAGGTAAACTTTGTAAAAGTAAACATGACACTGTATTCACTGTATTCAATTTAAACCAGCTGGTGGAGGTAAGTCGGTGTCAATGTGTTTCCACTGCAGTTGCATTCAGCCGGGTCAAAGGTCGGGGTTAGGCATGTATCACTTATGGTTAAGGGTTAGGGCAAGCCTTCAGAGAATGAATATGAGCCAAAGACCTGAAATGTGTGTGTGTGTGTGTGTGTGTGTGTTTTCAGCTCATGGTTCCCTGCCACTGGAGGGCTCTGATCTAAGGGAAATGTCTCGGGAGATCTCCCCCATGCTCACATCAGAGAGAGAAGAGTATGTACACACACACACACACACACACAGAAAGTTGTGTGAAGTGTGTGTTCGCCATCATGCTCATATACACATCTGTGTGTTGTCAGGACCCCTGTCTCTAGGTCAGTATCTGCATTGAAGGACATCCCAGAGGTGCCTGATGAAACGCTGCAAAGAGCTGCAGCAGAGTCTCCTTGGTAACGAACGCAACACTTTAACAGAGAAGTTTGTTACTTTAAGTCTTTTCTGTTGGTCTAGGATTGGAGCTAAAACCTACATGCTTGTGTGTGTGTGTGTGTGTGTGTGTGTGTGTGTGTGTGTGTGTGTGTGTGTGTGTGTGTGTGTGTGTGTGTGTGTGTGTGTGTGTGTGTGTGTGTGTGTGTGTGTGTGTGTGTGTGTGTGTGTGTGCAGGCTGCTGCCGGAGTTGACAGAGCAACAATCGTCACCTGTGCTTTTTCACTCTCTTCTCCCACGAGAGGCCGACCGCCGAACTGTCAGCAACATTTTTCAGAAGCTGCTGGGTGAGGCATCGGTTTCAGTTATCAATGAATCCTCCTCCCATCAGTCATGTTGAAACTGTGTTAATGTGACAGCATCAACACTAGTAGAAAGCTCTTTAATCAATATGTAGTCTTTATTCCACTATTTTCAAGAGTAGAGAGTCAGATCTCTGAAAATCTAATCTGTCATTAGTGGGAGCTGCAGAAATGAGATGGTTGAGAAATGAGGAACGATTAAGACCAGTTAAAAGATTTATGTTCAATAATTCAAGCACAAATAATTGTATTTAGAGTAAGAATAACTCAAACATTTTTAACTGAAATATGAAGTGCCATGTTTGTGTCTGTGGAGGTTGGAGAGATTTTATATTTAATGTTTAAGTTCTGTTACCTTTTAGATGAAACATTGAATTACTATTTTCCTGTTTTGTTGTTTATGTGATCGTCTGTTTTCCTTCATGTCTCATCTCAACATGTGTCTCTTCTCTGTAGAGACTTTATCGACCAGGAAGATTTGTGTCGAGCAGGGCAATCCTTATGGCGACATTCAGATTTTACCTGGACCGAACTATGAAGAGGTGATCCAGACTTTGGTCTGATAGAAGATCATTGTTAAAGTCAAATGTTTTGTTATTGATCACATCACAACATTTGTTCTTGGTGTGTCTAGTTAACATGTTTGAAAGAATTCAATCCTTTTTTTAATAATTTAATCTGATGTTTAATACATTTTAATACCTAAAACTGTTAAATATAATTCTTCTTTTTTAAAACTTTGACCAAAATGTTGGTACCAACGTTATGAGATTTTACAAGAAGAATTAAAAATAACTTATGTTTTTATATTTAAGGACTCATGTTATGCACTTGACTCTCTGTTCCAGCTATGTGTCTGTCCCTTTAAACATGAACTTCAAAATAAAAGTTTAATAAGTCGTCTGTCGGTTATTTCTGTGAAGAGAGCATGCCCTGAGTATTGAAAAGTATCTGCAGCACGCAGAGCAGGACAGGTGTGTGAAAACATATTGCAGGGGTTAAGGAGGTGCAAGGAGGACGGTTTGTAAGTTGAGTGAAACTGGATCCCTCCTCCTCTTTCTCCCCTCCGGCGCTCCCTCGGACCACATCTTGATTCTCCTCATGAAGACTTTCTCAGGGGGTTGTGACCAAAGTGTATTATTAGCGTCTGTCTCAGCTCTCTCTTTCACACTCTGTCTGTCTGACCTCCCTCCTCCTCCGTCATTTCATTTCATCTCATATCTCTTTTTTTTGTCTTCAGCTTTCTTGTTCATTTTTTCCAGTCTTTGACTTTTTCTTACTTTCCACTTTGGAGGTTTTCTTTTGCTTCTTGCTCTTTTTTTTTTTTTTTTTTTTGCCTGACTTTGTAGTTGTGTCTTGTCTTCTGGTTTTTCAGGACAACAACACGTTACTTCCTAACATGTCCTCTGGTTTGTCTTTGTCTTTGCTTCAGTGCTGTTTTGTACCATCCCCTGTGTTTTTCTCTGTAAAACTCACCAGTGTCTAGTTTTTCTCCTGCTGCTTCACACTTTTACAACCTTCTCACATCCTCCTCTCTTCTGCCAAAACGCTCCTCATCTCTGAGTGGCTCTCTGTGTTATGGGAAAGACGGAGCTGTACTCTCTCTATAAAGCCTTTCTGGACTGTGTTTGCCTCTGCCTCCCTGTGAGTATCTACACCTCATGTGTTTGCATTTGCTGTGTTCTTACATCAATTCCAACTTAAATTTCTGACATATCTGCATCAAGGTTGGTTTCTCACCTGAAATAATCTGCACAATGTTATGATTCTAATTCTTTATACGCTCCTAAATCGTGTAAGGACACATCACCTGCAGACTGGATGTTTATATGTGTCACTTGCTCGTCTGTGTCATGCCCTGCAGTAAATGTCTCCTCAGCACATGCTGGGCTTCTGATATTAATAACAGTCTCAGTATGTGGATGGAAATAGAGCCTCAGCTCCTCCAAAGAGGCCAGAAGTCGCTTGACATTTCTTATAACCTCTTTTAGAAGAAGCCCAGGTCATCACACTGAATCTTGATGTGTGAGCTTTGCACTCAGCTGGATGTTATTTTACGACAGGTGAAATAATGAGTCTGCAGCTTGAAAGCAATGTGTCAAATAAAGTTTATGTTAGTACATACTTATTTTACTTTATGTATTCACCCGCATGTAGGTTTAAAAACATTAGGCTAAGCCAGCTGACCACCTTTTTGCCCTTTCAGAGGGCAAGGGTCAGAGGTCACTAAGTCAATACTTAAGTTTGACACTTAAGGATGGGACAGGAGCAGGTTGATCTTTGAAGAGGTTTTTTCTAGACTTAGAATGTTATTATGGCAACTTTATTTCAATGAGGATGAGTTGACCATGTTTAACTTTCATTATTTTCATTCATATCGATAATCTTTAAAGTCCTCATGAGGGACTGTAAACCGCTTTCAAACGTTCCAACATACAGTCCTTCATGTATTTATTTCATCACTCTTTATTGTTGTAGGGTGACCTAATGTTCACCTGAGCGACAATCAGGAATCACAATCAAGTTTAAGTGTTGTATTCAACACTAGTGTTAGGATTAATACATGTAGGATACTTAAAGTAAAAAACACTCATCATGTCTAATCTCACTTTAATCGTATTAAACTCCTGTGTGATAACTTCATGTAGAAATGTCATGTCATTTGTTATTTAAAACTTTGTAAGTACATTTAGAGATTACATTCATTTTCTTTGTGTACAGAAACTTGAGCAATAAAGATAATCATGTTTATTGATGTTTTTCACATGTTGAATCTTATAAAGGTAACATTTCTTTGAATCACTGTTTTTGCTTCATCTGCTGGATAGCTTTGTGCCTTTTTACACTCGATCATTAGTGTAGCATCTGAAGCTATGGCTATACATTATATGATTTTAAGTATTCAAATAAATGCATTGCAGTCCAAAGTGTGCCTCTTAAATGTAAAAAAAAAAAACTTGAATTGTTAAATTGTACTGGAAACAGCCAAATAGTACTTAAAGTAGTTGAGAGTTATTTTGTCCGCATGTCATTCATGTGTTGAACTTTGTTTACAGCAAAGCAGCGATGAGGCAGAAGGTGATAATGAGAGGGACACTGAGAGCGGCCACCTGATCTACAGAAGTGGGGACGTCCTGGAGGACAGATGTAGGTATCAGTTCAGTTGGAAATGTTGGCAGAGTATTTAGAAATAAATAAAAAAAACCTGCTTTACCTTCAACATAATCTGTATTTCAGATGAAGTAGTCGACACTCTTGGGGAGGGAACTTTTGGGAAGGTGGTAAAATGTTTGGACCACGGCAGGTACATTGTATTCATGTTGTAATGAAAAGTCGACACATTTGTAAAATAGGCTAACGTAGAGCACTATCACGTCTTTAATACAATGTTTTGATTCACAGAGGACGAAGCAATGTTGCTCTGAAGATCATAAAGAACTTAGAGAAATACAGAGAAGCAGCCAAACTTGAAATCAACGTGCTGGAGAAGATCACTGAGAGAGATCCAGAAAACAAACAGTGAGTTGTTTCATCAGTGTTGGGATGTTGCTGCTCTTTTTCTGTCTGGTTCTTGTCATTTCTGTGTTTATCCTCTCTCATCAGTCACTGTGTGCAGATGCTTGACTGGTTTAACTACTACGGCCATGTATGCATCTCTTTTGAGCTGCTGTCTCTCAGCACCTTTGACTTCCAGAAAGCAAACAACTTCCTGCCTTATCCCATTAACCACATCCGACACATGGCCCGTCAGATCTGCCACGCTGTCAGCTGTGAGTCCACTCTACTTTTTCCTCTTGTTTCTCAGGATTAACTTCAGTGTTGACAGTAGGCCTAAGCTTCTTATCTACAGCTATGACAGTGATACAGCAGCAAATAAGCTGGCTAAATGAAAGGGTGACTGCTACCTGAGGATGACAAAAGTGTTTGCCTGATTTATGTTCCCAAAACAAAGTAAAATCAAACACAACCAAGGCTGTGTAATGAATGATTATTGTATTTTTTAATTATCTAGTCTTAATATTCTTGATTTTGTTTTCTGAATTCATGTGAATTGTTTTTCAGAAATGTTGAACACCTGATCCTAAAGAACTCAAGTTTTCCATATTGGTCGCTGCAAGTGTGTTATTTCTCAATCATAATATATATTTATGGATATATATTTGGACCACAGGGTGGGGCTGGAGTGCAAAACAGGGTTAGAAAACGCTCAGTTTTTAAAGTTATGCAGTTGTGTCCGTGGCTAGTGGCCTACATGAACCTGCAAATGAGCTCACAAGCTAACAAGCTAACAAGCAAGACATGACGAGTGCAGAAACCAGACTTATTGGAAGGTCTGTTAGTAGCCAACAATTTACTGCAGTCATCATATTGCTCATAGGATATTAAAATGAAAAGTTCTTCACAAGGAAACAACATCACAAACACAGCAGAAAGGCTAAATTTAGTTAGGCTACTCTTAGCTTAGCTGTAAAAGCTAGCTGCACCACTCAGTCACTCAAAGTTCATGGCCACAGCCTAACATACAGTATGCATAACCTTTAACATATATGTATATGTCTTAAAAAGATAAGGTGTCTAAAAATTTCACCAGTACAGATTTGAAGATTAGTGGAATTAACGGTAGAGACCAAAACCATGGCTGTAAATGTGTATTTTTTTCTGCTGTAAAGATGGACTCCGGTGCCTTCAGCCCTTTCACCTCTGTGCTTATTCCCCCGTTGTGTTCACTTCTACTTGTTAGCATAAGATCAAATCAGCCCTGTGTCTAATTAGCCCATGGAATAGTCTTTTAACTTTTATCACATAACTAGTAACATCAAAAATGTCTGTATTTTTTCAATGCCTAGTAGTTACTCTTCTCTACCTCGTAAGATTAGTTTTTATAAGTTAATGTCTTACTTCTTAACAAGACAGTCATTTTGACTCAGTAATAAAACAGTTCATACTTACATATTTCAGCAGAAAAAGTGGCTCCATTGGGACCATTACGTTTAACTTTTTTATAACTGTTTCACTAACAGACATCTCAACCAGAGGAGGGCGTCTCGGGCCTGATATAACTCAATGTACCCCCCCTCCTTCTCCACTGCAGTTCTCCATGACAACAAGCTGACTCACACGGACCTGAAACCTGAGAACATCCTCTTTGTCAACTCAGATTTCTCCATCATATACAACTCTGAGAAGGTATGACAAAGCTGCAGGCAGGAGGGCTGGGACCTTTAGGGGTGAAAGAAAAGCAGGATGTTAAATAAGCAGGGATTAACTCAGGCAGAACAACCCTGGAGATTGCTTTGTGGTTGCCCATTTAGATGCAAATTTTTCTCCGCAGAAACGTGTGTGTGTTCAGTTTATGACGAACATCCAAGAGGACTGTGTGTTTTGTGTGGATTTCTTTTGGGACAATGTGCGGTACCTTAGAAGGAACGATGATGTGTTTCTAATTCTCTCTATGATAGAAAAATGTTATTGCTAAAATTTGGAAAAATCTGAAAAACAAATTGATTGAAAAATGAAGAACAAGGAGAAAAACTATGAAACCGGTTTGAAATAAACACAGGTGAGCAAATCACATTTTTAAAAGAAATCAAGTGATAACAAGGGGGGGGGGGGGGAGTTCATATCCAATAGGATCTTCTATTGGTATTTATACTGTAGGTTTCCCTGTATAAAAATGACAAGTTGTGTGTGTCAAGGGATTTGGGGGGTTTTGGGCATTATTACCAACACTGGTGTGCATTAAAGTTTTTTCTCTAAATAATGTGGGAGACATCTCAAATCTAGCTGCTGGCATGTTCACGATCTCTTTAATCTTCAGACACCTCATGTTTTCAGTGCCATGAGTCTTCATCATACAGTAGTTGTGTTGAAAGCTGTGAGCTTGTACTTTGCTGGGTATATGTCACCATAATGGATAGAACTGAAAGGCAAAGCTATGAAACCAGCCTCCGACTTTTTCCGACTCCAGTAATCCTTTAAATGATGAGTTAAAGCTCAGAACCTGTTCAGTTGTTAAACCCCTATCTGCTCTCAGAAGTGTAATGAGAGGAGAGTTAACGACACCTCCGTGCGGCTTGTTGACTTTGGCAGCGCCACCTTTGACCATGAGCACCACTCTACCATCATCTCAACACGACACTACCGAGCTCCAGAGGTCATACTGGGTGAGAGATGTTGCTTAAGACCAGGGACTCAGTGGGACCTTTCAGAAGGGTTTTGTTGTTTGTGTAGTTTTTTCATTTGCTTCCTTTCTTTGCCACAGAGTTGGGTTGGAGTCATCCTTGTGATGTGTGGAGTATCGGCTGCATCCTTTTTGAATACTACAAAGGCTTCACACTATACCAGGTCACATGGGAGTTAATTATGGCAAAATGATCTGAAGTGTAGATGTTGACATGAGCATCATTATTCATTTGTGTGTTTATTTTATAGACTCATGACAATAAGGAGCATCTTGCTATGATGGAGAGTATACTGGGACCAATACCTCGGAGAATGATACAAAGGAGCAGGTAACACACTCCTGCAAATTTTAACACACAATATCACAAGTGAACTTTGTATTGTTATTTAACTTTACAGAAAGCAGAAGTATTTCCACCGGGGGCGTCTTGACTGGAATGAGTGCTCCAACGCCGGACGTTATGTGAAAGCAAAGTGCAAACCATTAAGGGTGAGCTAAGGAAGGAGAAAAGATTTTAGGCTTGACCCGAGAACTTTAAGATCCTCAAACATGTTTCTCTTTGTGTTTTCAGAAGTACTTATTATCACATGGGACTGAGCACCACCATTTGTTTAATCTCTTAGAGAGGATGATGGAGTATGAACCGTCAATACGCATCTCTCTTCCCTCTGTGCTGTGTCATCCCTTCTTCATTAATCCAGGGAGGACTCAGGTCTGGAGAAACAGCTGTGACATGAGCAGATGACCCTATGAGGATCACACGTGTGTTTACAAGTTTTAGTTTTGATGTTGTCACACTAGCACAAAACTCCTGAAAAGTTTCCCCAAATGTCAAGTGAGCTGCATGTATGAACGCAAACAGGCGATGTTTTTCATCCCAACTTTACACAAAGGTTTTTCTGCCAGGCCCCTTGTAAAAAGTCGGGGCAAGATGATACATGAACGCAGCAGGTAATATTAAGGTCAATTCGTTGCAAGGGAATGTGCAGGGTTGATGTTGTTCATGGCCAATGTGATCTTTGTGCACTGAAATGACTATTTTCTGCTTCTAAAATGTTCTTTTCCACTTAATTGATACTGTGAATACGTCCAATTACAAGTAGCTTTGATATAAAGGCAAAAAAGTGAGAATATAGTATCGGACTCTAAAGCTTCATCCGCCTTGTTGGATTTCCACATCGTCTTTTTTATGGCATGTCTTGCTTCCTGAGTCTGATGTGTGTGAATAAGCAACTCAGAAAGATTTCAAGGGCAGGCTGTCCTCAAGTGGAGTGCATGTTTGAAAACAGCTTCACATCCAATTTCAACAAGAGGACACTTAAAATGTATATATATTTTATTCAGAATGCACAACAGGAAAAGCTTGCTTATGCAATGAAACGCCTTTGTCTTTGGGGTGAACATGCCTTGAGCCATTTGATTTTGAATGGATGTGATTATGAAGAGGATTTCTGATGAGCTCAGCGGAAGGACCCTTTGGAGATGTTGCTGTGATGAAACTTGAGGGTACTGGGTTGAAGTAGGTCATTTAAATCCAACACTGAAACCAGAAGACAGTGCAGCAGAAAGACAGATTTATATGATCTGTCAGAGATGGTTGGGTTGCAGAGGCAACGTGAAGAGAAGCGTATTACATTGATTGAACTCTAAGTGGAAAAAAAGTATTCTTGGAAATGAATACAATGTACCTGCTGTGGTCCAAACATTGTACCACCTTCCCAAAAGTTCCCTCCCCAAGAGTGTCAACAATTTCATCTGAAATACAGATGAGTTGAAAGTAAAGCAGGATTTTTTATTTTATTTCTATATATGCTGCCAACATTTCCAACTGATCTGGAAAAAAAAGTATTCTTTATGATTAAAGTAAAATGAGTCCATGCTGTTTTATTCACAGTACTGTCACAAACTTCCAGTTACATATTGAATTGCCACTTTGTTTACTGGAAGCCCTTTGTATAGTCTTTAACTGATTGAATGTACTTGAAAACAAACATATGCCTATTAACGCAATCAACAGAGCAACATTATCATTAATACAGAGTCATGTTTCTATCCAATCGTTTAGTCTCTATGAGCTCTGATTTGGTCTCCACCTAGACTAAATACGCTATATTTGCAATACAAATTAGTCCTCAACCATAAATATATTAAGTGGAGATTGAAAAAGGGGCAACACATTGATTGAACATAAAGAAACCAATAGAGGCTTGGCTCAGTGAAAATGTTAATGAATAATTCCTGGCTGCATGGTTTAAATAATTGTATAACTGATATTGTAAAAATACTTGAGTTTTGGTTAATGGGTTAAAACATACACCACTAATTTTCGTCTGTACAACAAATACTAAAATACTTATCTCTAAAATTTAGAGGAGAGATATAAAAGCTTTAGCTTTACAATTAAGATAATATCCTTTAGTTTTATGAAATAAGTCAATGTGAAAATGATTTGTGTTTTTTGTATACAATTTGTATTTAATTACTTTAGTTGTAGTTTTATTCTTATGTTCTTCCTCGAACATCCTCATCCTTGGGGATTTTGATTTAGTGCAGCGGAGCAGAGAGCATAGTCACAAGGCTGAGTGAGTGTGTGTGCTGGACAGTTTTCCTCTTCAGCCTTGGCTCAGCCTAGAGACTGTTTTGGGGGAGGTTGCGTAAACCGCTGGTTCCCAAAGTGGGAGTTGCAAGCCCCCAAGAGGGGATGCCTTCCAAAATAACAAATACAAATCTCAAATAAATTAAAATTGTATATTTTACCCATCATTGTAAAAACAGATCACTTAATCATTAAGTGAAATGAAAATTAAATTGTATAAAAAATACTTCAAATGTCAGTTTGCACATGTCAGCAACAATGTAGCTGTCTGTTGCACTTGTTCACATCTGCGTGGCTATTAAGTTTTGTTTGTCCTCTCAGTGATAAAGTCTACTTGGAAATTACTTGTATTCTGCTTCTAGCCTTTCTTACAATAAATGATGATAATTGTTTTGATTGTATGGTTTTTAGGCTGTTGTATTATTTAGTTTCGTTATTTTGTGTTAGTGTTTGGATAGGCCTATTAATGCCTGGGCGTGGCTTTGCACATTAGGGAAGTGGGGGTCCACAGTCTCTGGCACCCTTATTTTGGGGGTGTGAATCACTGCACCAGTCCTGATCCCAAGGGGGCTGAAGAGTCCATGTGAGTGCAAAAACGTAATGAAATATCTTTCCCCTCTGGCCATAGACTTGAAACCTAAAAGACAAAATACTACTTCTAATAAGTTTTTCAGATTCACCAATATTCATTAATTTTTTAAACTTTATTTATAGCAACAATTTCTACCTTAGTACTCGTTCACTGTCACACAACAAGCCACAATACAGCACATTCAGAGTGGATGGTCAAAAATAAGCTTCAGTACAATGTGGTTCACTTCATTTCAAAATGATCCATGTTTGCCTGATGTAATAAATGGGAGACTATGAACATGTTTCAGATGTAAAGTCAGTATTGTGCTCTCCCTCTTCTCCTTTATTCGATCTGACCTGTTGACACAGGACTTACTCAGCCTCCCTCCCCTTTGTTGTAACAGCATTGGATGAGCAAACTGATCCAGGATCTGTGACTGAACACACACTAGAGGTGGCTTGGCTTTCTTTGGTAATCTTATTAAAGGATTAAGAGTTTTCACATGTCACAAATCAAAGTGGTGGGCAGCAGGGGGGGAGCGAGAAAAGGGTGAGTTGATTTTTAGTGGGTTTGTTGGAGGCCAGTGTTTGTTTCTGATGTTAAAGCCAAATAGGGCATTAGAGTAGGTCATACTTTGTATTAACAGTAAGATTCTTCAAATATTAAAAAATATACCAAAGGATATTCAGGACAAAGGCTGTAGCACAGTTTGAGAACAAACTTCTGTAAGCCAGGAACAGGGGTTGCAAACTAGCCACGACTAAAAAATTGTATGCATGGCATCGACTTAGTTTTTATATATGGAGCAGTGTTCACTGCATGTGTCCCTGTTAAATAAACTAAAAAAACTACACTTGTGTTATTATTTTTTAATCCTTATTTCTGTTTTCTGTTGTATTTATATTTTTGCTAATACAATATTTTGGTTTTTTGAGGATTGACAAAGTAAAAAAAACAAAAAAAACATAATGTGTCCATGAGAGCTGTTTGAGTCAGTAGAGAGCGAATATATAATTGTAGTTTATGTAGTTAAAGCCTTATACAGAAAGATGTGCCAAAGTTTTATCATACACTTGTATAAGTAAGACATAGCAGCTTTCTCAATTAAAATGCAGTGATGTGTGCAAAAACTAGCGCAACACTGAGTCCACTTTTAATTAAGTTAAGATAGCCTGCATACAAATTTGAAAACCATCAGCAAGAGCAATGGTAACACCAAATTTCCCCCTGGGATTAATAAAGTATTTCCGATTCTGATTCTGATCAATGGTCCTCTTGAACCTTGAGAAGCACATATTTTTTCTTTTGTTGGTATTGAGCATTACAAGCATTACTTTACAAAGATTTCTATCTGGACCTTTAGGAGGTTGTTTGGAAGTTTATATATTGATATCATCTGCATAGAAATGACATTTTATGTCAGTACCCTTTCTACACGAATCATTGATTTCAGAATAAAAGAGGACCAAGTATGAAACCTTGTGGGACAACTCTGTGTGTTTATCAGCCTCCATAAAATACAATGTGATCAACTTTGTCAAAGACTGCAGAAATTTTAGAAAAGGTGCAACTCAGTGTTCTTCTTAGTGGATGGCTTTAACAAAGTAATTTAAGAACTTTATCGTAACACTGACAGACCTGTGTTTTCTTTTTCTGAAACCTGTCTGTAAGTAAAAATGTCTCTGTAGGATAAATAGTCTTTTAAGTGATTACTTGTGAGCACATCCAAAACCTTAATGCAGTATTTGAAATATTAAAACAAAGTTTCAAAAAAACTTTACTTTAGCTATAAACAGATTTCAAGGTTTATTTAAGTATATGTTAACTACTATACTCACCAGAGGAGGCTGGTGAATAAACAAGTGATACACTGTAAGTTTAGTCAAATACAGCAGCTTTTTGTTCTTTTTTTAAGGATTTTATTTAATCTGCCTATGACTCTTTCCTTCCAGGTTTCTCTTTGTTTCATTTCCTCTCTTTGAAATCATCTCCATCTGTTTTTTTTATGAATACAAAACACACAAATACTTATAAATGTCTTCTAAGGAAGTGACTTTTTTTACAAACTGTGTTGCAAACCAGTTTCTGCTGTATTTGGACCGCCAAGGTGAGTCTAAATATAGGAACAACAGTGATGTCAGGAGGGTGAATGCAGCATGTGTCACTCAACATGACATGAACCAGCATCTGTAAATCTTGATCACAAACACGTGAGTCATTGGGTAGATTCCCTGCCATGGCTAACAGGATTCCATCTCATTAAGTCTTAAGTGGTAATCTGGAGAGTTGGGGGGTCAGAGCGGAGAGCGAGTCTGGAGCAAGAAGGCAGAAGAAGAAGAGGCTGAAACTTGGACAGATTATTTACCTCTCTGACAGACATAAGCACCATTCTAAAATCATGTAGAGAGTTCTCTGCATTTTCTTTTTGTTTTCTTTGATTTGGTTGAAAGCTTTGGGGGATTGTCTGGTTGCTGTGGAGGCCATCTGGCTGGAGCTTTACCAGGATTTTATGCTGTGAGCCTTTGGCCAACTGTGGCCAACTGTGGCCACCTGCAGAGGTAAGAAAACTGCAGATTTGTCGATCATGCTGGAACAAGTCAATGTAGTGTATGTATAATAGGGACAAATGTCCCATTAAATAACCTGTCTAACATGTTTTTGTCTGATATTTGTAGCTTTTTGTCTTCTTTTCTTCTAATTTAAATTTTTAATTTCGTGTGATCACTAAGTCAGTGTTTGAGCTTTACTTGTGTGCTGTCCTTGTCCTTTGTATTTCTCAAACTGACTTATTTCCCCCTCAGGACCTGAGGCCCTGCGTGTCCTGAGTTTGCCTTGTCAGAACAACACAACATGCCCAAAGGAAAAAAGCATATATTCACCTATCATCTGTCAGAGAAGTAGCAGCACTGTCATTGTCTCCTGTCCTGTCCTGAGAGCTCCTGAGCATCATGGAGTCCATGGTGAGGGTAAAGAAGTCAATGAGGACGCCTATGAGGAAGCTGACCAGCTGTGTGTCAGGGGTGAAGGAGAGGAGGTTGTGTGCTAGCCACAGGAACAAGAGGGGCAGAGGTGGGGGAGGAAGATGCAACAGGTTGAGGAGGAGGTCCCCTCCTCTGCAAAAAGCTCACTACAAAGACTCGACAGTCACCCGATCGTACCAGACAGACCTGGATAAGGAGAGGCAAGTCATTTAGAAACACTAAGTGGACAAAGTAAGGTTAAAGTAGTAGCATTGAAAGCACCCTAAAAAATGTAGTATACATTTGTAAGAAGTATTTTACCATAGTTGATGAAGCTCGTTAAATGTACTTAATTAATGTAACGTAGTGTCGTCTCTGACAATGTGTCATTACTTATACGATAGTTCTAGCTATGCATTTAAAATCTTCATCGGTAAAATAACAGGGAACTATTGCTGATTGAATGTAAACAATTAAACAATACCTCTCTTTTGTGGAGAAGAAGTTGCAAGAAATGGAATTATTCAAGTAAATGATATCAAAATAGTTCTAAAGAGTGAAGACGTTTGTTGATACTCTGTGGAAGTGGAATCAGGACAAATGTGTTGAAGCTGTTTATATCAAGCCCAGAAAAACATTACAAACTGACTTCTATGCATTTAAACCAAGTTTCACTTTGTAGTAGTGATAATCGTAAACAAACAACATGAAAAGATGTTTTCCACTCCTGGATGTTCATTCAACATTTTAGAGAGGGAAATATACACATTGGGTTTGAGTTCAAAATGTGTAAATAAGATATTCTAACAGCTGCACTGTATAGTGCAGAGTGTGATACTGCAGGAGCTGTAGTAACTCATGTGCCTCTGAGGAGCACTACTACAGTGTGTTCACATGCTTTCAAACAGTCAGTTCAACTATTTGAGCTGCAACAGAGAGATTACTTTATTTAAACTTCTTCTTTTGTTTTGCTTTTTTGTCTGTTGTGTTTACAGAAGGCTGAGGGAAGAAATGAATGCTCAGAAGAATGCAGAGAGAGCAGCTATGAGAGCTCACTTCAGGAGTAAATACAAACTGTCTGAGGTCAGTATTTTCTGCAAAGAATCCAAGTTTCAAACTGTTTTTTTAAATGCTCTGAAATCTTTCAGTCTAAATTTTGTGCAAACTGTTAAGCAGACGATTGTTTTTTGTTGTCTTCTTGAAGCAAATTGTAATTTATTTTGAACAAATTTGGAAAAACTTTTTATATTGCAACTTTTTATACTTGCAATTGTCCTCTTAAAGGTAAAGCCATTTAAACAATACAAAGTATAATTCTAAGGAGACTTAGTTCATTTTCACCAGTTTGCAAATTGCAATAACTCAGTGAGCCATATGGAGCCAGCACAATACTTAATATTTCCAAACATAGGTTGGTTTTATTGGTCTGTTGTATAACAAAAATCTGTATGACGTTGGATTATTTAAAGTGAGTGAATGAAGTGTGTGTGTAGATATAGTTAAATGAAAACATATTAATAGCTAAACTTAGGCAAACATAACCAGACCAAAGTGTGGTGTATACCTGTGGACAGGGTCAGTGCAGAGAGTGTGTGCTATACTGAAGTAATGCTGCATTCAAGTGTAATGCAGTTAGGAAGTTAGGAGTTGGAAAGTTGGTCTTCTGACTTCAGTGTGTTCAAGTAATGTAGATTTGGGAATTATGAATTTTGTTACAACAACAACAACAAATAATGTGGATGCTACAAGAAAGATGTTTGGAATGACACTGTTATAAGTTTTATTTGAGAAAAAAGTTGATGTTCATTAAATGAATTAATAAAAAGTTTCTTCACATTAACAAAACATATTTTGCCTGCCATGTTGATGACAAACATGACATGAAGTGTGGCATCAAATTCTTTCCTGATTTTCCAAGTTGTTGTTCCAATTTAAGCAGGCATGTGCTTTTTCTTACTCGGAAACATCGTTTTTCCGATGTGTCCGACACCATGTGAATGCCGGGTAACTTCAGCACATTGGGCCCAGGTGTGCTGAAGTCACTCTTATTAATGAGCTGAAACGCAAGCCACAGGTTAGAGCCACAGCTCCAAGATATCAACTGAAAACACTACATAACGACAAGAGTCAAGTCAACTTTATTTATTTAGCACATTTAAAACAACCATGGTTGACGAAAGTGCTTTACAGAGTAAAAGACAGGACATCACAGTGCAGCTTTTATGGAAATGTGCTCTGTTCCTTTAAACAAAATTCCATACTTTAAATGTCAAACTTTACAAAAAAAAAAAACAATGAAATATCAGCACTCTACTGTAAACTGAGTTTTTATATCTACACTAAATGTTGGTGTTTCATGGGAATTATTGGTTAAAAAAAAAAATTTGACCCATAACCTATTTATCCTTTGAGCCCTGTTCTTCTTTCTGTTTTCCCTCATAATTAGGACTCCAAGGACAAAAACCACCTGCGGTCTGTTGGAGGGAAAGTTTCCCTCTCCCACAAGCTGTCGAAGATAATTCACCCTGAAACCAAAACCAAGGACAACAGCTTCAACCTGCTGAAGGCTTTTCAAGGCCTCAGCTTGAGCAAAGCATCGCTCACAGGGAGGAAACACAGCAAGACCTCCACTCCTACACCTGCGGTTGGGGATGCTTGTAAAGTCATGTGATCAATACTCGATCACAAGGATGAACAGTATGTCGCCTTCTGAAGGTCGTGACTGCTGCTACATCACGAGCTGTGCTCACATCCACATCCACATTCAGTCCAGTTGCGCACAATGAGACCATGTTATTATGACATTCTGTTTGTTTTTATTCATTGTTTTTTATGTAGCAATAATAATATTTGAATCCTTGTAATTGTATTACCTGTATACTATTTTAAGATGGTTGATCTAACCTTTAAATGTGATTCATTCTCTGAAGAATAACTTTGTTAATAAACAAGTCAGTGAAAGTGACCTCACAACTGTTGGTATATTTTCATTTAATTGATCAGATGTGATACACGATTGTAAATGGCATTCATAATGAGGTATTCACATTTCCTGAAGGGTTTGTCATGTTGTTAACCCACCTGGACCCTAATATTGTCATATACTAATTTTAATAATGTTTATTTTATAATATCATGTGGAATATCGTTTGAAAAGTACTGTAGCTAGTTCCTTTTACAGTGATGTCACATCCCTGTAAATGATACAGATCCAACAGTGTGATCTATACACAAGTAAGCAAACTCAGGGCAACATGTTCACATTTCATCTCACTGTTTCAAAAGTAACAAGACATCATTTGATTTACCCATCTGTCTCACTAGTAAGTAAACATTTGCTGTTGAATATTCTGGTCTATTTTTGTTGTTATGTGAGCAAAATCTTTTTTACACGAGCCAAGTTTTAGATATTAGGTTTTTGACTACCCTCTTGTTGTAATTAAACGAGTATTATACAACATGAAGCGGGAACTCAACCCTTGTGAAATTAGAGAAACTAAATAAAGTGACAAAAGGTTTACAGTGTTTCTATTTGTGTTAATTAGCTGTCACAAAAACGTGTAATAAAGACTTGTTTGACCAGCTGTGATCATGTTTTTACATGGTGTGTGTGCATGTTTCGATAGGCTTGACATTTGTGCTCTGTTGTGATTCTCTTGAACTTACACCTCCCTATCCATAAATCATCATCTGCTATCGGTTCATCAGGGTAGTAGAACACATTCAAGGATATGAGGTTGTGGATGAAGAAGAGAAATAGTCAGTCCTACGGAGCCGACAGCGAGGACAACAACATCACCAGGGGTGTCAAAACTCAGTTTGGATCATGAGGAGCATGTTCATCAGAGTGACTGTGTGTTTCAAAGCGCAGGGCGTATGTGGCTCCAGGAATCTTTGTGGTGTCGGTCTGCAAAGATCCTTTTGTATGACCGCAGCAGGTACGGTGTTGGGTGGAAAGTCAGAGGGTAGAAAAGCATCACCCAGTGCCGGAGTGATTCAGAGAAGCGTGGACGGACTGGTGAGGAGTTTTGAGGAGATCCCTCACACGGGGCGAAGCGGCTGGATCAACCTGGTGAAGTTCTGGAGGGAGAATCGTTTCCAGCAGCTCCACAAGCACATGGAGAAGACCTTCAATGCACTCGGCCCCATTTACAGGTAGATGGAGAAATTATGCTTTCAACTGCTAGACCAAGAAAGTGTTGAATTAAGGTGTTCCATTATGCTTATAGTATATGTATATTTCTTGTGTGTGTTCGTGTGGAGGGAGCACGTAGGCACCCACAGCAGTGTGAACATCATGTTGCCGTCTGACATCAGTGAACTATTTCGTTTCGAGGGCCTGCACCCCCGGCGCATGACCCTGCAGCCCTGGGCCACACACCGAGAAACACGAAATCACAGCAAGGGAGTCTTTCTCAAGTCAGTGCCATTTCTATGTATATGCATGTGTACAGCTCATGTTGTTGTAATATCTGTTCTGCAAATCTCTTACAGCACGTACACTGAAGGGACCACCTACCACCCATCCTTATGGGGACGCAACACATGGTCCCCACTTTGTGTATAGATATGAATGTGTGTAAGAGTCAGGTTTGTGTTTTTTTTTTGTTAGGTTGTAGTAATTATGATAAAGATGACATTTCCTCTACTCTATGAATAGATGAGAAAAGGAAGAGCATGTCTTCTTTTTGGTTATGTGGTTATGATCACAATTAAGGTAAGTTGACAGGGGCTGAATATAGAGACTTTAAAACAGGACCTCAAAATTAGGAATAGTCGACTAAAGGAGGAACACATCCGTCTGATGGGTTTTCTCACTTTTTATCCAACCCTTTTTTTACTTCACATTTTCTTTTCATCTTCTTCACAGGAACGGCGAGGAATGGCGATCTGACCGTCTACAGCTCAACAAAGAGGTGATGATGACTGCATCCGTGAAGCGCTTTCTCCCCCTGCTTGATGAGGTGGCGAGTGATTTCTGTCGAATGCTGCAGGCGAGAGTGGAGAGGGACGGAAGGGGCGAGAAGGGGACACGCAGCCTGACCATGGATCCCAGTCCTGACCTTTTCCGCTTTGCATTGGAAGGTCAGAGGTGATCCTCTTTGGCAAGGACCGGCCATATCTCTCTGTGATTGTTGAAGTTTAGTTGAATTCCTGTTCTATTATTAAGACATGTTTTCTATCCAGGAAATGAAAGTGAATTGTAGAGGAGTGTGAAAGGATGAAGGTCTGATGGAATGTCTCACCTTTTAATGTCATTTTCTTGTTTTCATCCAGCTCTGATAGACCTTCAAGTCTACACCCTACATATCCTCCCCAATCTGTGTGGGGAGGGGATGGATTAATGTCTCCTCTCCTCTTTCGACAGCCTCTCATTCACCCTTGTTGACAAACAAATACTAACGTAGGCTGTGACGGCATCTTGCGTCAGAGAAATTATACAACCCCCAACCCTCAATTCAATCTAATTTCAACCTTAGGCATAACTATCATGAACATAAACATGCACCTATAAAAATAGAAACACCAACAAACATGATCAAAGCTTCAGCAGTTTTTCACTAGGTCTGCTCCTGCTTGTGTGACTCAGAATGCTACACACTTGTATTCATCTGTGTGCCTATGTTTGTTTGTGTGAAGAGGGGGGAGGTTTTGACTTTGAGTCATGCTGCTTTGCTCTTAATGGACCACAGCACACCAGGCCAGGTGCTAAGCCAAGATAGGAATAGATCGCCAAGAAACTCTATTCCACTCAGTGCAGTTAATATGACACAAACAGGTCTGATAGTTTCTGGATGTTTTCCTGGGTCCAGATCTGTGTATGCTTCCATTCCCCTGACTTGACTGATTCATCTGCCATCATGGCATGAAACAAGGTTTTTAATTCTGTTGAAAAGGCAATCCATCAAATGAGTACAGCTGGGGGGCGCTAATGATTAGCCAACCAGGGCCAAGGGGGCTGAAACCAATGTCAACTTGGTTTCTAGTATTTTTAAGCTTTCCCCTCCCCCTGGAGGATAAGTTTGTCTCTTGTGGTTTTGTAGGGGAATAAGGAATCTCGCTCCCAAGCAAGCTGCACAAGGCTTTCAAGTTTATTTGACCAAGTGGCCAAACGTTGTTGTAACCAGCTTAGGGTCAATTTAATGATGAACACTGGCCCAAATAGACCATTTCCCATCTGATTGCATTGATAAGAAATACCTCTATAAATCAGGAAATGTATTTTTATTTTTTGTTGAAGGATACAACAGCTTTAGGGGCTGCCCAGTGTAGAAACTTTGCTGTAGCGCTTTGAAATGTTTAACCAAAAGTCAACTTTGTTTTGGCTCTGTGTCCCTCATGAATGGAGGCTTCCCGCCTAAGCTACTGGATCTAATTCTCCCCACACTCATGTAGTGGGTGCAATGTCAGACTGAAGATGGAAACTGACTGCAATGAGTTGACAATTCTGTCAGATATCAGGCAAGGTAGATGTTTGGTGGAGGCGAGGCAGCTCCCCTGAGACAAAGTGTACTCAGAAAACTAAATTAACTTTCTGATTGGAGCTGAATATTTTCTGGCTGTCACAGAGAGAGTCTTGTGGAGGCTTTTTTTTTAGAATATGTCAAATCACAGTACCATGTAATCCTTCAAAGCTTGGATTTTAAGCTTGAAAATATTGAGTATTTTAATCTACTTAGAAAACTGTCAACCCTGAGTTCTTTTTCAGCCTCAGTATGAACAGATTCAAAATGAGTGTTGAGCCTTGGCATTTTCAAGTGTTTGTTTGATGACCTTTACACACTTGACTTACCCACACCCTACCCTCCCTGCCTCCTCCCCTTGCAGCCAGTTGTCATGTGATCTATGGGGAGCGTATTGGCCTCTTCTCCTCATCTCCCTCAATGGAGTCTCAGAAGTTTATATGGGCTGTGGAGCGAATGCTGGCAACCACCCCTCCTCTCCTCTACCTGCCCCCTCGTCTGTTGCACCGCATCGGCGCTCCCCTGTGGACACAGCATGCCAATGCATGGGACCACATCTTCAGCCATGGTAAAAAGAGATGAGAGCATTTCTGGACTCATAAGGCAGGGACATTTTTCTTTATTTTTTTGTAGTTTATCCAACTCTGAACAATGTCCCTGGTCTGGTTTTCCTCCAGCGGATGCAAGGATCAAGAGGGGGTACCAGAAGCTGTCATCCACCCAGAGGAAAGGGTCTGAGGCTGGGGCTGTTGAAGGACATTACACGGGGGTCCTGGGACAACTCCTGGAGAAAGGGCAGCTGTCTTCGGACCTCATCAAAGCCAACATCACTGAATTGATGGCCGGAGGGGTTGACACGGTCTGTCTGCATTGCGTGTTCTTGGCTTGACTATGTGCCACACTGTAACTGATTGTGTGTCCCCTCTCATCCATCTTCTCTGCAGACAGCTGTGCCCCTGCAGTTTGCTCTGTTTGAGCTCGGCCGTAACCCAGAGGTGCAGGAGATGGTGAGGCAGGAGGTGAGGGCGTCATGGTCCCAGGCTGGGGGTGATCCTCAGAAAGCTCTGCAGGGGGCGCCTTTACTGAAGGGCACAATCAAAGAGATTCTCAGGTACAAAAGACTCAAGAAAAATCATCTTCTGGCATGAATATACTTGTGCACCCCTCAGCTTTTAACACCATATCTTCATTGTTACATACCCTGTTTTTCTTTGGCACCTTCATTATATACCAATTAACCAAGGAAAAAATCTTTACCTAAATTGTCATTACTTTATGACTTTACTTTACTTTTATGTTAGGCATGAACTTCCTTGTTGACCTTGGGTGTTGTAATTTTGACAATTCTACCACAAGGTCTTCTGACTAACTTTGAAGGGCTTTCAACAATGTCCCCAGGTTTGTATTTTATCATGACATGAAACCTCAGTAGTTGTTAGGTTAGGCCGTCAACCAACAATCTTGAGGAGCCTAAGAGAGCTCCCAGGAAAGTAGGTGGTTAGTGACTGAGATGTACAGATAGATACATGCAGTAATATGATGTACTGTATATGCACAGAGAGAGAGAGAGTGAGAGAGAGAGAGGAGCTCAAGGTGCCAGTTCCCCCAGTAGTCTAAGCCTATAGCAGCATAACTAAGAGCTGGTCTACACCAGCACCGGCCCTAACTATAAGATTTATCAAAAAGGAAAGTTTTAAGTCTATTCTTAAAAATACAGACTGTGTCTACCCCGGCTGGAAGGCGGTTCCAGAGGAGAGGAGCCCGATAACTGAAGGCTTTACCCCCCATAGTACACTTAGAGACTGTAGGTACCACCAGCAGGCCTGCACTCCGGGACCGCAACGCTCTCGAGGGACAGTACGGCACTAGTAGCGCCTTAAGATAAGATGGTGCCTGGCCATTTAGAGCTTTGTAAGTGAGAAGAAGGATCTTGAATTCTATTCTAGACTGTATAGGGAGCCAGTGCAGAGAAGCCAAGACAGGAGTAATGTGGTCCTAGTTCTGGTCAGTACACGAGCTGCAGCGTTCTGGACTAGTTGAAGAGTCTTTAGAGACTTGCCAGAGCACCCTGACAAAAGAGAGTTACAATAATCCAATCTGGAGGTAACAAATGCATGAACTAGTTTTTCTGCATCATTTTGCGACAGGCTATTCCTGATCTTGGATATATTACGAAGGTGAAAATAGGCTGTTCTTGAAACTTGCCTGATGTGAGAGCTAAAAGATATATCTTGATCAAATAGAACTCCTAGATTCCTAACAGTGGTGCTAGATGCCAGGCTGATGTCACTAAGGACAGTCAAATCACTAGAAAAAGTCTCTCTGAGGTTCTTAGGGCCTAGCACAATAACTTCAGTCTTGTCTGAGTTAAGTAACAAAACATTTCTGGTCATCCAGGTCCTAACGTCCTTAAGGCACGTTTCTAGCTGACATAACTGACTGGTGCCATCGGGCTTCATTGATACATAAAGCTGAGTATCATCTGCATAACAATGAAACTGTATGGAGTGTTTCCTCATAATATTTCCCAGAGGAAGCATATATAATGTAAAGAGAATTGGTCCAAGCACTGAACCTTGTGGGACTCCATGGCAAACTTTAGTGTGCATAGAGGACTCATCATTAACATGTACAAACTGAGATCGGTCTGATAAGTAGGATTCAAACCAACTTAAAGCAGTCCCTGTAATTCCAAGCAAATGCTCCAGTCTGTACAACAGGATCCGATGGTCAATGGTGTCAAAAGCAGCACTAAGATCTAACAAGATGAGCACAGAGAGAAGTCCCCTGTCTGAAGCTAGAAGTAGATCGTTTGTAACTTTAACTAGTGCAGTCTCAGTGCTGTGGTGGACTCTAAATCCTGACTGAAACTCCTCAAATAAACTGTTGTCATGGAGAAAGTCACACAGCTGATTAGCTACCACCTTCTCCAGGATCTTCGAGATAAAAGGAAGGTTGGATATAGGCCTATAGTTATAGTTATAGTTAGAGTTCCTGAATCTAGAGTAGAGGTTTGATTACCGCTACTTTAAATGCCTGTGGTACATAGCTTGCCAGTAAAGACGAATTGATCATATCTAATATAGAGTTGCTAACAAAGGGAAAGACTTCCTTAAACAGCTTGGTTGGGATTGGGTCCAAAAGTCAGGTTGACGGTTTCAACGCAGAAAAAATGGAATATAGCTCTGAAAGGTCGATTGGAGAAAAACAGTCGAGGCTAATATCTGGTCCTGGAACTGTCTCTGCCGTATCAGACGTATCCACACTAGGTAAGGGCAGGAGGTTACCAATTTTGTCTCTGATGTCTAAAATTTTGTTGTTGAAAAAGCTCAGGAAATCATTACTGCTGAGGTCTAGAGGAATACAAGGCTCAATGGAGCCATGACTCTCTGTCAGCCTGGCTACAGTGCTGAAAAGGTATCTAGGATTGCCTTTGTTTTCCTCAATTAGAGAGGAGTAGTAGGCAGCTCGAGTGTGACGTAGAGCCTTCATATATCTTCTATGACTATCCTGCCTGAATAAACGAGATTCTACTGTTTTGGTCGAGCGCCATATTCTTTCAAAATTCTGCGACGATTGTTTTAGAGTATGGGTTTCTGAGTTGAACCATGGAGCCACTCTCTGCCGCTTGACAACTCTCCGTTCCAGGGGAGCAATTGAATCAAGAGTAATTGATAGATGGGGGATAAAAAGCATTTACAAGCGTTCAAATTCTTAAAATGAGAATTGATTTTCAGTCATCCTGAGGTCATGTAAAGAACAGGCAAAGAGTAAAAGGTGACGTCTAAAGAATCCTATTTGTGTGTGTGCCTGTAAGTTTATGTTGACTCTTTTTGTTGTATCAGGTTGTATCCTGTGGGAACCACAGTGCAGCGTTATCCTATCAAAGATATCGTACTTCAAAACTACCACATACCTGCCGGGGTGAGTGACCAAACTGTGACCATTATTTTCTCTCAAATTCAAACATATTCTCATATCTGCACACATATTTGAACATTCAATGCTACAGATGACTTCAGTGTAATGACCACTAACTTTCCCTCAGACGATGGTCCAGGCCTGTCTTTACCCCATGGGAAGGAGTTCAGAGGTCTTTGAGGATCCACTGCGCTTCAACCCCGGCCGATGGGGCAGCAGCAGAAGGGAGGGCCAGAGCGTGGAGGGGGCAGGGTTTCGCTCTCTAGCGTTTGGGTTTGGCGCGAGGCAGTGTGTTGGACGGAGGATTGCCGAGAATGAGATGCAGCTCTTGCTAATGCATGTGAGTTACTGCAGACATTAAGGATGAAGGAATTGGTCAGATAAAAGACAGTTATTTTCTTCAATTAAAAAAGACTCCATTTCAGATTTGCAGTTAATACATTTTTAAAAAATCAAACATGGTGGCCGATATATTGTTATAATGCAAATGTAGGGGGTCATGGTCCCTTCAAAGATGAGTCAAGGTAATCCAGGGAGCTGTGAGAAAATTTTGATTAAACAACAAAGTTCTTTCACAAACTTTTTAACATTTATTTTGTGAGCTTTTTTCATGCATGTTTTAATAGGACATGAGCGTGGATAGAGTTGGAAGATGAGAGTGGGGAATGACTTGGGTGGGAGTCGAACCCGGGGACATCGCTTCAATGGCTATTGCCTCTGTCCATTGGACACATGATGTAACCACAGAGCTAAACTGGTGCCCCAAATTTAGAGACTTTTTTGTAGTAAATCCTTTCTTGAATGGAACTTTTTATTCTCTTTTTTCCTATACCTCTTTGGGCCTCAAGCAAATTCTTAAATGCAACCGTGTGATCAGATATTTTGTCAACTGAAATGTTATCCTGCTTTAAAGGAATCTCTTGGTTCAAACTTTTACAATATTGTATTCTCTATGCTTTTTAAAGTACATCTGCAGATTACCTTGTTCAAGGTTTCTTTATTAGTTCCTAGCAAGGTACATTTGTTGTGTAGACAGAAAATGTAACATTCCAAAGACAAAAAAAGCAACAAATTACAACAAAAGAAAAATTGAAAGTTATAACGGAATCTATCTGATAAAAAATTCAAGATCAGTAAAATGTACATTTACTCAGTTGCATTCAAACACTGTTTTTAAGTAGTATAGCTATGATCCTTCTTAACATCTGATCTGTTCCTTCTCTTCCTGTCTATCTTCCTTCTCCTTCTCCTCCTCCCCCCTTGTCCCCCTTATCAACCCCTCTCCTCCCACTCTGTCTAGATCCTGCTGAGCTTCCATCTCAGCGTGTCGTCCTCCGAGGACATCAAAACCACATGCACCCTCATCCTCCAGCCTGAGACTCCACCAATGATCACTTTCAGAAAGCTCTGATGCACACACACACACACACACACACACACACACACACACACGGAGAAGAGATTCATGGAACACAATACAGCCTCTGTTAACTCCCATACATAACCATTGGATTCCTGATGATACTGTCTGAAGCTATCACTTTTTACTTCTTTCATCTCCTGAATTCATAAAGCTGATTAATAAAGCAGCATTCATTCTTCATGTTGTCTGCAGTGTGACTGAATTTGCAAAAGCAACAATAAAACTTCTGTCCACCAGATGGTGCTAAATCTCACAACAACCAGTTCACCAATATTTGCCACTCTTGTCCCTCTTGTCCCTCCCCACCACCACTCTGTTAGTCTCGGTCTGCTTCATGCATCCAACAGGTTTGTCAGTTACTTTTTAAGATCTAATTTTAAACAGCTCATTTCATACTCTGACTGTGTGCTTTGTGTTAGGAGCAATCTAAACCACCCTGTGTGCTCCCTGCTGTTTTTGTAACATTCTTTGTAAGTGTTTATTTTCTAGCTTTTTTAAAATCTTTCCTGCTATTTGTTCACTTTCCAGGTATTGATCAATCTAAATGTTTCTTTTTTTTCTTCAATTGTTTGCAAACAAACTCCATAAAAACGCTTCATTTTGTCTCGAAATAGGCAACTGGCTTAGTGTTTAAAATAAAGTGCTTGAAGGTACAAAGACTGAAGGTGAAAGTTTTTGTTTTAAAGCTGCAACTTGCCTTGTGTACTTTTCTGTTGCTTCATTTCAAGTGATACAGATTAAAGTTTCCAAATAAATTATTGCACTCCGGTCTTCATACGTAAAAGCGACCTTTACTCCAGGATAATAATTATTGCTGCGCTATTATATCATACCGGGTGTGTGCTACACAGAGCAGAGGGCTGCAGGGTAGATTATAATTTGTCAACACAGGAGCAAAGGTCTGTTTGTCCTTCGGCTAACGATTTACACTCTCTGTCAACCCCCCCCCCCCCCCCCCCGGGTTCATGTATGACATTCAAAAAGACCGCACATGGGAAGTGGATGGAGCTTCTTGCTTCCCAATGTAAAGCCAGTGAGGAAGTCCCTTAATACCAGCAATATATCTAATGGCCAGCAGGGGGTGACTACAATGGTTGCATGAAGTCCAATGTTCTTTAAGTCTACCAGTAAACTACTTCTTACCGTACTTGATTTAGTCCCTCAGTAATCATTTTCCTAATGAGCTAATGGCCTAAATTGATTTTCTACAATAAAGCATGAAATTCACCTTTTAAATTATCATCCCATTTAGAATCAAATAGGAGATAAAGCAGTCAAAGCCTTTCGGGTGTGGTTAACTACGATAAACCGTTTGCTACGTTGCAACCTGTCAATAAGGATTGATGTGTTGCATTCATACCTACACTCTTGACTTGTCCATATATGGGCATTTTGGGCCCCTTGAAAACTCAAGATAGCGTTGGCAAAGAATGCCAAACCCAAGGCTTTGAGAGGGCAGTTAATGAATCAGTAAATTACATCATACCCACTACTGATATACAGTTTAAGGCATAGATACAACTCTGCAGAATGCAGCTCCATGCACCTTTTCCAGACAAGACACATAAACTGTGTCACTGAGTTTAAGACAGATCATTTCTTTGTTTGAACTTCTCTGTCAAGTCTCAGATTTCAATTACATCAGCACTCCACATGTGTCTGAAAGTGGATGAATCAAAATATGTATAAACATCTGATTACAAATATTACAGACTTTTCATAGGTTCAGATACATTAAAAACCTCAGGCTCAAAACTGCAAAACGTTCTTTTTGAGTACATATCCTAAAAGGGGATCACTTTCTAAATATGTCACCCTTTTAAAACTAGATTTTAAGCTGCAATTGAGATGCACTGGTTGTGATAATAAGGGCTGAAACTTCTGTCTAAAATAACAATTCAGCAGATTTTTGTTTCAGATACCAATGACCTTTTCATTGAGTAAGTAGTGTTTCTTCATGTTTGTTTTTCTAATGAGATATGAGATTGGATGTACTTAAATTGTTGTTAGAAGTCCCACTTCTTGTTACTGAAATATATCCTACAAACTGCATGTTGAAGATCATTGCCAGAGACTATAATATTTCTACTTAAAACTAATCTGAATCAGCAGGCAGGTACACAAGCTCGCCAGCTCAAATTGATGCAACACAACAGATAGACATAAACTACTGACATCGGTGCATACCACATTACTTATTGATGGACTGTTGTCTGTCAACATATCCCATATCCCTAGATGTAACTAATGGCTTACAATTAAAAGTAAATACATAATTAATAACTGCTTTATGAGAACCATTATGAGCACTAAATATGAATATCTTTTTGGGTTGCTGCTGGTGTCTTTGGAGCTCTTTAGTTCAGTTCTTTCAATGAACTGTTTGACCTGATGTTCAGAACGCGCAGCAGGACTTCTGAACAAAGACACATTTATGAATAATTTATTAACATCTTTAACTGCTGACCTGAATTATTGTTAGTACGTTGCAATAGTAACTAATTAAGCTTATTAATTAAAGGGGATTTACTTCTTGTTGCTATGAGAAGAAAATCATTATAACTAAGTTCTAACACTCCATAGTGTTTTCAGAAAATTGTAGATGACAAGTTTTTTTTCTTCAAAAGATGAGTAACCAATTGTCTACTAGTTTTAGCAGAATTTATAATGATGTGGAAAGTCTAGTAAAGATTTTCCACGTCTATTTTTAACAGGGTCAATGTTTCAAACTCCAGGTTAGGATGACATAATGTGCAGTAATGCATTAAGAAAAGACATATATCACAAAGTCCTGTAGTTTGCCTTGATAGAATAATAACATCAAAACTTTTAGTGTCATCACTCAAAGTGTTTTACATTTTTAAGTCCCGTCAGTGACCTTTATTTAATCTTAAATCAGGTTTGTGCTGCATGAGGTGGCCTCACTCCAAATAGTGCGAGTGGGAGGAGAGCTGAGAGTTGAGAGGGCAACAGAGGGTCAAAGAGTCAAAATGAAAGAAAGAGGCTCAGCCAGGCATTCTCAGGTGACATAACTCTTAGAGAATGACAAGTGCACAACCTGGGCACGAACAAGGATAACAGCAGAGGAGGAAACCCTGCTTTTCAGTTAAAAATTATAGAATTAAGTCTACAATACTCTTAAAAGGCCAATAGAGGAAGAGGAACCCAGCTGTGGATTTTTATCTTTTGAAAATGGAAAAAAATCTAAAATCTGGTAAGTTGTGTATTAAAACTAAAGCAGGATTCAAATGCCAAAAGTGACTGTAGCAATTGATTTCCACCTAATGGATTTTTAAATTGATCTATGATACAAAGGAGCTTTGTGTGTATCTTTTTCTGGTGGCTTATAAAAAATTCCAATGTCAGTGGTCCAATGCTGATAATATGATCATCAATATCAATATCTCAGCGTTTAACTAAATGGTCAGGTAATCAACCACTGTTTCATTTGTCTGCTGCCTTTTAACTTGGTGCAAAGTCACATTTGGACAAAAATCTGTTCCCCCATCGATTACATACATGCACACTGACCTGCAAACGTTCATGCAGGAATGTGACCCTCTGCAAACAGGTCCCACTAATGACCTGGGACCCCTCTCTTATCAGAAATAAAAGTGTGCATGCGCTGATATTGTGCAACATCCTTTGACCTGACTGCTTTATTTATAGCCAGCCTTCTAGTAACAGGTACCTGCACATGTGCCTATACGTGTGCATGTGTATGTGTGTGTGTGTGTGTGTGTGTGTGTGTGTGTGTGTGTGTGTGTGTGTGTGTGTGTGTGTGTGTGTGTGTGTGTGTGTGTGTGTGTGTGTGTGTGTGTGTTTCCATGTGTACACCTTTGAGATGTGTCAGAGGATCTCAGTAGGACACATAATGATGTGTGCAGCAGTGTGGCAGAACTAGGTCACAGGGAGGTGGAGAGAGAGAGAGAAAAAGAGAGAAAACACAGAAAGCTACCTAATCAACAGGATACAGGAGCTGTGCATGTTGACACTATCCTGTCACCAGTTTCCCCTGCAGACTTCAAGCTCTGTTAAATTTACTATTTCTGAATGATGAAAAGGTGTGACAGGTGGTGAAAATTAACAAATCATCCTACAAAACGAAAAAAAAAAAAAATAGATTCACAATCTTTTCCATCTTTCGGAATCTTTTCTGAATTCTTCCTCCCCTTCTCTCTCCCTCCTCCATCCTCCATCCTCACTTCTTCCCTCTCCCCTCTTGCTCCTTGTCTCCGGTCTTCTCTCCTCCCCTGTAGTGGAAGAAGTTGCAGGCTTGATTGACTGTGATATCCTCTATTGTCCTGGCTCAGCCCTCAGCCATGAATCATGATTCTACTGTATGCAAGGTTTTTACTCTCACGTTTAATGCGGCAGTCGTGACATGTGTTGTAACTTGATCAAGGTGTTAGTAAAGGCAATATGCTGCTATTCCTCCCAATTTCAAGTTTTATAATCAACAGGTGGAAGGTTAAACAGATTTTTGAAGTTAGTTGAAATGTGCATGTTTGTGAAGAAATTGTTCCCAATTTCTGTTGTTGTTGAGTTTGATTTTAGTTGGATTGATTGTGGATAATTTGATAGGTAAAAAGTATAAGATAACAGGACATTACGGTTTCTGTGATTATTTTTTTTAAGGTAACAATGGTCTAAATCAGTGGTTCCTAATCTTTTTTCCTTGGAGCCCTCAATACTTATATCTAAGAAAAGCTGGGACCCACTGGGACTCTATTGTGGGAAAAATAATACATGGTTGACAAAAATGAACATTAATCTCAATAGTTGACACTGATAAAATCCCAACAGAGTTGGTATGGTTTTATCATGAATTTAGTTAATATGTGCAAACCTAATTTTGACAACCTCAGAGCAGATAAAGCCTGTTTGCTAATTCACCATAAATATAGAAACAAGCCACTGTACAGGTTGTTGAGCTTAAAGAATCCACATATTGAAGAAGTGACCTAAACATGGGTATAATACAAACC